TACAATTTCAGTTATAAAGCACTTCGATCTATCGTTTAATAGCATATTATTCACACTTTAATAAAATAAGGAATAATAATCAATAAAGAAGAAAACCACTTTCAAAATAATATAAATTAATTATCACACACCTTTTTAACATGATCAAGTGGAAGTTATTGCTACATTATTTACCTATAACAATTTTATTAAACCTAAATAAGTACTGAAGGGAATTGCATGAAAATGAGCTCTTTGGTTAAAAAAAAAGTTTTTTTCTAGGACACATTAGTTCAAGAAAAAGAATTTTATGGGTCGATTTATAGTTTAATTGCGTTTAAGTATTAGGTTCAAGAAAAAGTTTTAATTTACAACTCTAGAAGTTTAATTGCATTAGGTTCAAGGAAAAGTTTATTTTCAAGTCTCAAATGAGGTTAAAAGAAATGCCCTAAATTATTAAAATTACAAATAAACTAAAATATTTAAATGACTAAATTAAAATTTTAATTTCCAACAATTCTAACCAGTTTAAAAACTGCAAAATAAATTGCATCAAAAAGATCAGAAATTCAAAAATAATTCCTTATTAATAAACAATGAAAATGCGAAATTAAAAAAGCAGATGGTTAAAATTCCTAATGAGGTAATGTGCATTATTCAGCAATAAATTAAAATCAATTTTCTTTTTTAGAAAAATTTAGATTGAAAAATACTATTTAACACCACAAATACAATCTATAACAATCACACACATATTGACACAAATTACTACACTATATAAAAAAGTCATTCCCAGCCAAAGTTTTGTTTCAAAGCATAACTTAAATAAATGCTGTATGTATTATGATCTCATGTTTTAAGGGGCCATCTGCAAATGATGATTCCTATCACAAAGTTTCCCATTTCAATTAGGACCGCTTAAATATTACAGAAGGCGGGAATAAGATTTGCTGACAAAGGAGCACATTATTATTAAAGCATAAAAAAGAAAATGGTAACAAAACAAATTTTAAAACTGAATTGAAATTTTTTCTTTGAATTTAATCCTAAAGTTAGATTACTTTTTATTATACATAGCTGTCAACACGTAATAGGAAAAAATCCCGTAGATTTTAAGAAATAATATATAAACTCTATGATAATTGTTGCATAATGTACTAAATATTTTACACATAGGGAATTTTTATAGTCGCCAAAATAGAAAAACTGCAATATTTCCAAGTTATTACACATACTTGAAATGTTAGATATTATGTTTACTATTAATTTCGAATATCAATAGGCATTTGATTCATCAAAGATAGTTAAAAGATTTTTTTAATTAATTTAAAAAGAGAGTTCTGAATAAAAAAAGTTTTGAACTGATTTCTATAAATGAGGTTTGCTTCATTATGTATTCAAGCAAGGAATCAATAATCTGTAAGAAAATTCTATTTCAATATGGATTTTTTTTTAAAGGAAACATACTCAATTTTAGGGAATTTTCTAAAACGTACAAAAACCAGGAGAATTTTAATTAAACCAGTAGAAACTGGCAAAATCCAATAGAGTTGGCAGCTATGATTATAAAGTAGGAAGCAAGTTCTTTACTTAAAAGATGAGAAGGGACTTTTAAGGCTGAACTTAATCTGTTGAATTTTATTCATCATATATGGATGGACCCTCATAACAGTCTTCTTTACATAAGCTTCATTCCTTTGAAGAAAGAATTGAGGTTCAAAAATAATGAGACCTTCCAAAGGGAAACTATTTGAGCAGCACATATATATATATATAGGCAACTATCATTATAGAGATTCTTCTGGCTACACTACTTCATTCAGATATCCACACATAAATAGAAGAGGGCTATAAAATGACTTGCATATCAAAAGAATTGAGGTAGTTTGTGCTGAAATACAATACAGGAACCCATCACACAGTGGCATTATATAAAGAATGTTTTTGTTTAACCCATTAGTGTTCATCTTTTTATCATCTTATGTTTTGAGATTATTAAGTACTAGTTTCATTAAATTCAATCAAGAAACATCTGAAAGCCATAGAAACATCAAAAAGAGGATGCCATACTACAGGAGAAATCATGTATGGGAAATTCTCTCTTACCAAGGCAATTCATTAAAGTTTAGCTCAGTTAAAAATAAAGTAAGCCATAAAGATTCAAATGATAATTTTTTTTTTTATAACTGCACAAATATTTATTATCCCGAGTAAACTCGGGCATAGCAGAATGCGTCAATACGTTTTGTTTTATCACGTTTTTACTGAGCCGGAAGCAAAAATAATAATAATTATCTGCTGTGATTCGAAGTTTGCCAATATTTTTTTTTAAGAGTTTTGCTGTTTGTGAAACTGCAGACGTGTTTTGTGCAATTGAATATATACGATGGTTGATGAATTTACATAGAAAAAAAAAAGAATAAAAATATGTGGAGAAGCGAAAGTAATGCAGATGATTTTTCAGATTATGAAGATGTGAACATATACAAAGACTCATATTTAACTTTTTTCATTCGCCCGAGATAAATTGGGATAGTAAACTGATGGTAAATTAAATATTTTTTTTTTTGCATAAAAAAAAATTTCAATTTAGAACTTATGTATTATTATTTCTTTTAGTTTCTTGAATTTATTAATGAAATAATAAAAAAAAAACATTGATTTTTTGCATATTTTTTCAAAAAAATTATTAAGGGAAGTGGTTAAAATGCAAACAAGTTACGACAGGATCACATAGGATAATGCTGTGGGGGAGTTTTCCTCCAATAATGGGTGGGTGTTTTGATATTTTAAAAAATAATTCTTTTTTAGGAATTAAAAAACTCTTAAACTTTTAATTTTAAAACACCGACAAAGTTTTGAAATAAACCAAACAAGCTGAAAATGAAATCCAAAAAATGTTGCATACTTTTTTTAAATACCTGAAATTTGAGCAAGAAAAAAGTGTATTTAAGAAGAATATTATCCATGTTTTAATAAAAATATCATTGCAGATTTTCTTAAATTGTGTGAATATGAATCTATATGAGTGATTTTTAAAACACGCAAATATGAACCTCGATTTGTAATTTTAAAATCGTGGAAATACGAATCTCGATTTTCAATTCGAGTGATCTCAATGTTTATTTTAAAATCGCTTGAATACAAATCGCTATTTTAGATACAAAGTCATACAAGTGCAAAACACGACATGCAATTCAAAATCACCCTAATGAGAATCATGATGTGTGATCATGTTAATGTAAATCGCTATTGTAGGAAATTCTCTCGGTAAAAGGAAATATTTTTTTTTCCTCGGGGAATTCGAAACAAACTCTCTTCAAAATGCAGAATTTTCTTTTTATGGAATAGGAAAAAAACTGCTCCCGATGAAAAGTTTCTCCTGCATTATAATGTCCTCTTAAGTTCACCTCAAAGTAGAGTTTTAGTTACAGATAAAGTAAGATTGAGTTTAAGGCAATATTAGAAATACACTATGCTAATGTGTTAAGGCTAAAGACCATTCTCTGGTTCTTCTTACACTGATGATTTTAACATTGTTGAACACAGTTGCCTCAACTAAAACTTTTAAGAAAACTTTATTATAACTCACACTACAATGTTAAACACACAGGAATTTATATTCTGTCTGTGTGAACTATTTACAGGAGCTACATGAATAAAAGTGTTCTACACGTCTGCTTAATCGCCTCCCTGTTTATAACTCGGGTATGTACATATTGCAAATATTTATTTTCCCGAGAAAACTTGGGCGTAACAGAATGTGTCAACATGTTTCGTTTCATCACATTTTTACTCGGCTAGAAGCAAAATAATAATCTGTAGTGATTGGAAGTTTGCCGAGTTTTGTTTGGGAGCTGTACTGTTGAATTGTGGGCACATGTTTTGTAGGATTGTATATACGACGGCTGCTGAATTTACATGGAGAAGAAAAAAAAAGAGTACAAAATAATCACTTCACTGGTGTTGTTCCTTGTTTTAAAAACTATCATACAAAGACTAATATTTAATTTTTTTCATTTGCCCAAGATAACTCGAGATAGTAAACTCATAGTAAATTAAATGTTTTTTTACACACACACACAAAAAAAATATTAAATTTCAATTAAAAACTTGTGTATTATATTTTGTTTTAATACGTTGTATTTATGAATGAAATAAAAAAAAATGTTGATTTTGTTCATTAAAAAAAAAAAAAAAACAATTGGGAAGAGAAGCGGTTAAAAACAATTGCTTGGATAATAATGCGTTTCGGAGTTGATTAAGATGAGTGAGACTCAGTTTTAGCAAGATGAAGCAAATGAGCTTTCACCAAGAACAGCACTTTATCCTTTTAAATTTAGTTTTATCTTTCATTATTCCTCTTAATGTAACATACAGAAGAATAGTGCAGAGCTTACTCGATTCATTAACTACTTTTGAATACAAATGCATGCTATACTGAAATCTCATATAATTAAAAAGTGTGAAAGTTTTTTTGACATTTTGTATAGCATACAAAAATGAATTCTTGGTAGTCAAAAATCAATTTCTTTGTGGTCATTTTAAAGATGAATTCCTGACATTGAACTGTTACTTTGACATTAATGGATTAAACAGAAAGCTTTATAATATTCAAGATTTAAAATATAAAGATACGAAAATATGAATCCAATTAAAATCATTTTGCTAATAACTTTTACAAAAGCATAAATATGAAGAGATGCCAAGCTTCAATTATTATTATTTTTTTTTTAACAACCACAATTGAAACATTAAAAAATTTAAATCTAAGTTATATTTTAATTAATAATTAAACTATTGTCAAGAAATTTATATTTTGATATAAGTGACATTATGTAAACAATTGTTTGTAAGAATAAGTTAAAAACATTAAACAAATTTCAGTCTTTAAATTTTAAAAATTTCAAACCACTTATGTAATTTATTGAATAAGGAAATTTGTAGTTAGCACTGATTATCTCTTATGATTTTACATAAAATCATAAGAGATAAAAATTAGAAGATGCATGCTTGCGTTGTTAAGAAAAAACTCTTTGCAGTTTAATTGAAAGTTTTTGAAAATCAACAAACTTCTGTAACTGTTATGTTACAGAAAAGCAAACTTTTTATAGTAGTTGGCACTCCTCAAGTAGAAAATTTTCATTGAGTGGCAGCATGTAAAATGTCACAATAAATTAAACAGTCTTAATGGTTTATGAACATGTATGTGTAGAACAATTTCAATAAAATGTATCACAAGGCTTGCTGCAAAAATTACAAGTTATGATAAAAATTTTAAAAAACTTATGACACATTTAAGTACAATTCTAAACCATAACCTACAATCAGGGTCTGATTTGCATTTAGGAATTCTAAAATCACTTCATCGGTCAATATATATTTTTATATATTTAATATATATATAAACATCCCTTTGAATATTTCAAAATAATCTACATTTCAAATTTTAACCCTTTCAGGGGAGGTGGGATAAAAGAGTGTTCACCTTATTTTTTAAAAAAATTACAAACCATTAAAATTGCAATTCTTTTAATTTTTAAATTATGCAAATTTTAATTAAATACTTTAAACTACAAAAAATATAAAGCAAGATGCACATATCATTTCAACAATTATGACTGTTTTCGGCTAAAACTTAGGTTCACATTTTTTGTGTACTGCAAAGGGTTAACTTATTAAGAGCAAACATAAAATTGTCTTCTAACAAATGCAAATATAGCTGAATAACCATGACTCAATGCACTTAGCTAATTTTTTTTTCGATTTCTTTTCTATCTTTCTCCCTTCCTTTATATATTTATTTTTAAAGCTATTTAAAAACACCTAATATTTTCACAAAAATTAGGGTTTCTAAAAATACATTAATTAATAAAAAAAAATATTATTATACATATTAAATTTAAAATAGTAATTTTTTATGAATTGTCAAAGAATGATTCATTCCAATATTACTTCTAACAAACATAGTAATTTTTTATGAATTGTCAAAGAATGATTCATTCCAATATTACTTCTAACAAACTAACACCATTAACTCATTGCGCATGGCATAACATCAATGAATGAATCAGCTCATTAATTTAATAGCAGGGCTTGACTTGTTTATATACCATACTGCAATGTTAAACATTTAAAATCTACTGTCCATGCAAACTATTTAGATTAGCTCTGCACCCATGCTTAATTAATTAATTTGTTTTTAGAAGTTCTTAAAAATTAACATGAGCAAAATTAACCAAAAATTGACATATTTTTGAGATCTGCATTTTTTTAAACACAAATAGTAAAGCTTGCGGAAGTAGAAAATTTTCAAGGTCAAAATTCATGACTTTCAATGATTTTTAATGTGTGCAGATACCCTGTATAAGAAAAAAAAAAAAAGAAGACTTGAAAACATTACATTAAAATTATTTTCTGGTAAGTCAGACCCTGGCTATATTTGTACACATAATAGTTTTAATTTCCTAAACAAAAGAGTGGAAAATAAAAACCAAATATACCTCCATTAAAAATTACAACACTCATTACACTAAAAAATTAAGAGCAAAATAGTATTTTGTAGGAACATAGGAAATTAGGTATTGGGTAGTTTTAAAAGGTATCAAAGATGAATTTTTATAAGAAATCAAAAATATGCTGCAAATATTAGGGAATAGTATTAGTTAGGGGGAAAAAAAGCAATCAATAGTGACTAAATTCACTACTTTTATATAAAATTAGGAAGAAAAAAAACTAGATAAATAAGTAAAATGTCAAACAGCAATTTTTATTAAAAATATATAAATTACAAACATGTACAAAAAAAAAAAAAACAAGGATCAGCAATCTGTGTTGATATAATGATAGAGAGAATGAATTTCATTCAACTGCGAAGAATTTTTTAGATAATCATTGAGGTTGACATCATCAGTTTATTGGCAATGAAACCAATTTATCTCATTCATTTTACACCCTTTTTACATAAAATAACAATGTACAATTCTAAAATAAAATTTTGGTTCCAACTGTTTTAAGTAGCATTGTTTCTTTTGAACATTAGTTTTTTTAAATTCTTCACAGTTGTTAAATATATATTTATTTTCAAAATAATGAAAACATTAGAAAAGAAAAAAAAGCTGATCTTTGCGAATTGAACCTTGATTATACACATATTGTTGTATCTTTATAGGTCACACTTTTATTTTTCACAGTTCTTTTTAAGGAAATAAATTAATAAAAACACATTTGGGAATAATTTAAATAGTTTAATAGCATTATTAGAAATGAAATTAAACTAATTACAACTGTTAAAGTAATATCAATTACTTAATTTTATATAAAAAGGAAATTATTATAAAAGAAAAAACAAATGTTATAATTGTATTTAATTAAAAAAAGCTGAAAGACAAAATTTTTCTCAACATAGTAGTTATAATTTCCGTTACTTTTAAATGTTTTTCTTTATCACTTTAATTTTAACATTTATGCAACAAAGAAATAAATTCCTCAGAAATCCATAATGTTATTTGATGTCAATAATTTTGTGCGTTTAATAATCAAGGTTCAGTTGTAGTAGTTCAGTACGTTACCAAAAGTCAATCCTAAAAATATAACTAAAATGGGAATAAACTAAAATATGATACAAGAAGAAGCTGCCACCAATGATTTTAAATCAATTCAAAAGAGTATTTCAATAAGCAGTACTCCAATAATACACAGTTATTTTCGTCCATATTCCTCAATACACAAATGGCAGCTCCATGAACCTGTAACAATTTACATAAATAAAAATCAAAGCATAAAAACCAAAATAGTAATAGTAAAAGAGCACTATATGAAAACAATATATATTACATTTTAATGATTATTATTATTTGATGAAAGATAATAACTCTATAAAAAAATTATCTTCGTTCAAATTAAAAATTATTTAAATAATAATTTTACTCATTAACTCTATTTCTTTTTCAAATGACTGCTTTCACAAATAAAATAGAAGTACAGGGAGTTTCCACAAACTTATTGTGGATGTCAAATTAGCAGTAAATTTACAAGGTGTGTAAATTAAGACAGATTTTTAATATATTTTTTACTTGAATTACAATTCAAGATAGTTTTTGAGAAATCATAGAGTTTCTAATTGAGCTCCCAAAATAGAGAAAAGCTGAAGAGGAGACAAAGGATTTCACAAGAAATATGAAGGCTCACCTATGAACCTCAAAGTTTGGTGAATCCTATTTACACAACTTGCATCTCAAAGTGTTAAAAATATAGGTAGGTGCTTTTAATAAATGACATAACATTAAGACAAATAAAGAAAGTTGAGAGGTTTATGTAGTCTTCCTGCATAAATTGTCAATTCGCGATATCTCACATTTGAGGTGACTAAAGAAAAACTTTTTAAAAATGTTAACAGCATAAGCTTTTATCATGTAGCAGAAACTCAGCAGATTTCATTCAGTAAAATACTGATAATAGATGTCCCTCGAGCTGCGGTGGCTCAGGGGATAGAGCGCTCGTCTTCTAACGACAGGAATAGAGTCGGAACTTTTGATGGCCGGTCGATACGAAATCCGTAACCGTCTCGCACTGACCACAGTCCTGACGTAAAATATCCTCAGTGGTAGACAGAATGATAGGTTTTATAGTCACCTTGCTGTCAGTGCAATCGTGGGAGGTTTTCCTCACCATGCAATGTAAATGCGGAATAGTTCCATGAAAAAGACCTCCACGAAAGCAAATTTGTCTCCATACTTGATCCAGGAGTTCCCTGTCTTCTGGATTGGGCTCAAAATCACAAGGCTGCAGAGTCGAACACGAGTAGTCGTAGACCCAATAATTGGTTCGGCTGTCCGGCGACGGTTATAAAATATAAAAAATATATGTTGCTACTAAAAGTGTAGGACTCCACTGTTCAATATAACCTAAAAAAAGTCAATTGATTCCACTTGTTTTGTCTTCTGTAATTTTCTTAATAAATAATATCTGTTTATTCATCAATGTGTTTTCCCTTAATCACCACAGCCCAACAGCATTTTGTAGGAGAATGAGGTGATTTTGAAAGCAAGAAGATTCAGCTTTATTAGTGGTAGGTAAAGTAATAAGGATTATTTTAGCTTAAAAGGAAAAGTTATATTGCTTATAAAATTAAATACTAAATTATAAGGGCAAAAAATAATTCAAGCAGAGAGATTGTTTAAATTATCGAATACATTTTGTTCTCTAATGAAAATAATGTTTAAGAATGAGGAAAAAAACAAGACAATCATGGGGATGGAGAGAGAGGGTGGGATTTTTTAGAAACAAGAAGTAGTTGAACAGAGATTAAATTTTTAGATTTTCCTGACCCCATGGAAACCTTGCAGCTGAACTTTGGTTATGAGGCAATAAATATTAATCACAATGTAAATATATGCATGAAATACTCTATACAAATACAGTGCCCGCCGCTTTATAAAATCAAATCAGCCGAATCGCTGCAATATTAATACATGTTAAAAACATTCTTTAATAAAATTAATGCCGCCACTTTTTAAAACCAAAATTTTGACTACATAATAAATCAAAAGTGCAATATTTCAGCTTTTTTTTGTTCTTATTTATAAAATTTTGTTTTTCGAAGTTTAAAGATGTTTTTAGAAGAAGCAACAGTTACTTACAAACCTGTGAAACAGGTGTGGTTAGCACTTTCCTGTGATGTGCATAGTGTAAGAGTTAAGGAAAAATGTGGGTGATAAGCGAGGAGTTCATAGAAATCAATTTAGCAATGTCAATTCCTTGATTTGAATGAAGTTTGTAGAAACCTATCTCACTCAACAGGGGGTCGAATTCTTATCTTACTTTTTATTGAATGAACCATAGAAGGGAGAGAAGTTTCTTTTGTCATCTATCTTAACAGAGAACATGAATAGATTTCCAATAACTGTCTGTGCCCATGTTCCATAAAGCTGTTTGGAGTAAATTATAGCACATAATTTATTGCTAAACCCCGCCCCGCTCCCAAAGGGGACACACGGGTATCAATAAAGACAACAGTTAGCAGTTAGAGCACATACCATTTTTAAGTTCGTTTGGTGTTAAATTTTATCAGCATGCCAAAAAGGAGGGATTTGAGTCGGAGGAAATTGAAATGGCTCTTTTAGAATGGTTCAAAAATGCAAGCGAAAGAAGAATTTCAATTTCCCGTGGAATTTTATTTCACAAAGAACAGGACTTTGCTAACTTATTTGGTGATTCTGATTTTAAAGCTACAGATGGGTGGCTAACCCGATGGAAAGACCGCCACAACATTGTCTATCGTAAACTGCATAGTGAAAAGCAAGATGCTGATTTTAGCTCTGCCGCCGATCGGGTAAACGACGTGTGGCCAACACTCATCAAAGACTATAAACCAGAGCAAATTTTCAACACAGATGAAACAGGATTATTTTTCCAAGCACTTCCTGAACACACACTGCTGTTTAAAAATGAATTGACTGGTGGACGTAAAAAAATAAAGGAAAGACTAACCGTGCTGCTAACATGCAACATGACAGGAACTGAGAGAAAAAAATTTAGTGATAGGAAAGAGTTTAAAACCTCGATGTTTTAAAGGAGTAAAACACCTGCCCACCAGTTATGCCAACAGCTACAATGCATGGATGACATCCAGCATCTTCACAAAATTTCTTCTTGAATGGGAAAGGAGCTGAAAAATGAAAAGGTCGTCTTACTTTTAGACAATTGTTCTGCGCACCCTGCTGATGAGGACTTGTGTTTGAAAAACATTAGTGTTTTTGCCACCCAACACTACAGCTATCATTCAACCCCTTGATCAGGGAATCATAAGATCATTCAAGTTTCATTACAGAAAAATGGTAGTTCAAAAAATCATTAGTGACATAGACTGTGACAGCTCTTCAGAACTCTTAACTGCAAACAACTATCGAAATCCCTTACTATTTTGGAATCAATGCATTTGATTTGTAACTCATGGGACATTGTTTCAACCTAAACAATATCAAATTGCTTTAAAAAGTGTGGATTAAGCATTGACGATGGGGCTGATAACTGTTTCGANCGAAATCCCTTACTATTTTGGAATCAATGCATTTGATTCGTAACTCATGGGACATTGTTTCAACCCAAACAATATCAAATTGCTTTAAAAAGTGTGGATTAAGCATTGCCGATGGAGCTGATAACTGTTTCGAAGAAATGCTCAGCAATGAAGAAAATGAAATGGACGAGAATTTTTCACGTTACGTAGCTATTGACGATAACTTGCAAACATCAGGAGAAAAATCTGATTCTGAAATTGTTACAGACATCAAAAATTACAAAGTTATTTCCAATCAAGAAATGGAGGAATCAGACTCAGAAGATGAAATAAACTCATCAGCGCCATCTTCAAGGGAAATCAGAAAAGCCCTTAGCGTATTGCGGCAAGCTTTAGAACAAAGAGGAGGAAATATCAAAAACTATAAAACTCTCAAATGATGTTGAAGCAACTCAAGCAACTATTGATCAGTTTTTTGCAAAAATTTTGTAAATTTAATCTTATGTAGGGTTTTACTTTATTAAAATAATTAAATTAGTTAAAATAAAGCATTAATGTTGTCATTATTTCAGCTTTTAAAGTGTACGCATTTAGAATATATCGTAAAAACTTTATTTTTTCTCTCTTTCAAATGTTGAATCGCCTCTTAATAAAATCAGCCGCTTAATAAAATCAAAAGAGCATAAAACGAAAGTGATTTTAATAAACGGCGGACACTGTATTTAACTGTTTAATAGTTTACATATGGTATGGAATTAGAACACTAAACATAATTTAAAAAGTGATAACACACCCTCGGGAGGCTCGGATAAAGGTGGGGTTAGGCAGTACATGTGGTACCCTCGATCGCAATCGTCGCAAAAAAGTAACTGATCCTGAAAAGTTTAATTTGTAATATTATTATAGAACACAAAATTGTAATAGTATGCAGTCATTTTTGTACATAAAGATGGAATATCTTTTTAAGAACTTACATCATTGTCAGAGGTACCACATATTCCGCAGGATTTGCATTCTATGCACTGCCATCGGTATTTTTTCACAGATGCCGTCATATTTGGCGTGAATTGTAAACAAGTTGGATGAGCTAGAAATAAAATGACTATATAAGCAAAGATTTAGATAGACAAAAATAAATAAATAACCAGAACAATTAGAAACATAAAATGATACAAATGCCATCCTATTTGATGTAAATTTTAACAAGTTAGATGAACTAGAAGTAAAATGACAGAATTTAGACAGACACAGAACAAATATTTAGAAATATGTTGTATGTTGCATACACCATGCAGCGCCACCTGTAGTTAAGCAGACTCCTTCTACATTCACTCACTGAACGGCTACTGGGAGAGAGCTCATTAAGATGTTCCAGCTCTAATTATTTTGTATTGCCATTTAAGTGTTTTTTGACACAATAAAAGCTTTAAAACGCACGCCTAGACTGCTTTGAAGCTTCATCGACACTCTCTGTCCGTAAGATGTATTAATTTATTAAAATGTAGAGTAGTATTAATTCTCTATACGCAATGAATAAATTTACTTAAATTTTTTTTAAAAACATTATTTGATTTGTGTTTTCTCATATCTTTCGCAATAAATGATCCCTTAAGAAGCAATCAATCATAGGTTAAATGTCTAATTTCAGATAACAAATTATGAATGCAATCCTTCCTGTGTTGGACACTACCCAGCATAAGATCTTAAACAGGGTTGCCACTCAAATCTGGAAAGAAAAAAATTCCCTGCGTTTTCCCTGTACATATAATACACAATATATTAAGAGGAAACAACAATTACTGTGCTCTTGCGTGAGCTAACTATAGTGATTAGTTTTAATTGCTGGAAAGACCGCTGAACATACTTAAATAATGCTATAGTAAATGAAATAGTTTAATATAGCTGAAATATCATGGTTAAATACATGGATTACACTTTGAGTGGTCACCATTTTTTAAAAGACAAAATTAAGTAACAAAATTCCATGCATTTTCCAGGTTTTCCCTATGGAGAGGCAACCCTGTTAAAGAGAACTGAGAAGAAAAGAAATATCTACTAATTTTAATAAAAAAAAAATAAATTAACAGGGTACTGTTGATGAGGGAAAATAAAACATTTCTAATTAAAACAAACCTGATCGTCCACAGTCAGCACACGAGACTAACTCTTCAGGCATTCTTGTTTTTTTGTTTTCTATGCTATCACCCAAACAAAAGTCACAATAAGTGCTTGGAAGGGTTCCTCCTTTTTCTGAGGTAGGTCTTGGAGCTGCAAGAATAGATATTATCCTTCATTTCATGCAATTTCAAAACAAGACAGCAGCATTTTTTTTTTCAAAACAAAGTGAGAAACAGGATTAATAAGAACATTCAAAAGGTTTTTATGTATATAAATTTTTTGTTACACTAATATAAATAAGACTGTTTATTTATAAGCTGTACATTCCAATGAAGAAGACAAAATTGAATGTAAAAGCAATAAATCAAAAAGGAAAAAATGAGTTAAAATATTTTTTAAATTATTCTCATGATAAATAGTGAATACGAAGTCTTATAAATATCGAATTTAAGACAATTATCATTTAGGTAATGAAAATATTATCAATGTTATGGATAGTTATAAATGTGCAATACAAAATTATTGAGTATTATTAAGAATGATAATTATTGTGCAACTAAAATATTAGCCAATACTATAGACCAGGGATGACGAACCAATGGCACGCGCAATATTTACACAGTATTTTGGGCACGCCAGCGATCACTTTTGTTATTACACTATGAATTGTTATTATTCAAATGCTATTACACTATGAAGCATATGTAACAATTAAATTCAAATTCACAAAAAACACGTAAAATAATAAACAATTATTAATTAAAAAATTAACAATTAATGCTAAAAAAGCAATTAATAACCATAAAAAACAAGCTAACAATAAATAACTAACAAAAAAAATAAACAGTCCTGCTGAAAGTAACATCTTACAACCTAATATAAGTTATTTGTCATCTAATCTGCAACAACAGAAGTCACACTGATGTTACTTTAAGTTGAATTGCGCATATAACTGAGACATTGCAAAATATTTTTTTTTCAATGTAATGGAAGAGTTTTGAGTTGATAGTATTTAGTAGTATTATTTTCCCAATAATCACGAAGGCAAAATTATTTGACGGCACGTCTATGATCTTATTAAACAATTTTTTGGAAAAAATGGCACGTTGGTGTATAAAGGTTCGCCACCCCTGCTATAGACGATTATAATTCATAGTGATAATTATCAAATGCGATGATGTCTAAAGTATTCTTTTTATTGATTGCTATAGTGCAGTGAAAGTTCAATGACAGGGTGCGAGCCAAATTTTAAAACAAAAAATAAGCACACAAAAAATATATTTTTAAGCACCTTTATACATTAACAAAATGCAAAATAATTTTTAAAGAATTTACATGATCGTGATAAAATAACTAGTTTCTGACAAAGAACTCTTTTCTTGATTAAATTAGCCATTATAAAATGATCAAGAGATTTTGTCAGTTCGATATCAGAGGGTGGAAAATAAAATCTGAAATTGAGAATATCTTGCAAAATATAGCAGAGTTGCACAAGACAGTGCAAGAACTCACCGAACTCAGCTCAGTAGACGCACATGCGGATTAAGTAATTCATCAAACATGTAAAATGATTGGTGCTTTCGTACGCTATGGACCGACGGTAAGCCGACTGTGAAAACATTAAATAGAACAATGTGAAAAGCATGCATTTACATAATACGCGCCAAAAATCGACATGACAAAGAAAAAAATAATCTCATTTTCAAAAAGGAAAATTAAGCACTTTTTAAAAACCTTTTTGAGTTAGTAAAAACTTAGCACTTTTTAAACACCTTTAAGGGCTTTTGAATAACGAAAATTGAAAATAAGCACCTTTAAAAAAATGCAAAATGATATAACATAAATGAGTTAAATCGGAAAAAACAATATTAAAATCGGCACCACCAAATAGAACAAATGCTGTATGAATTCTAATAGCACCATTTTAAAGTGAGCTACCAGTTTTGATTCATTGAGTCCTGTTTACATAGACAGTATAAGATCTTTAAAATGCAAAACATGAGGCTTTGTGATGTATCCTATAGATCAGTAAGCTTGCATTGGCCCTATACAATAGGTAACAAATTACTTTAACCCTTTATGTACCCATGGAAGCCCCACGAATATTATTATCATACAGCATTGAAACGGGGCAAAATATCTCATCGGAACTTGTCCATCATGTTACCTGCAATAGTTATTACTAGTTGACAATACACACAAGTTGAACATCACCTATTGGACTTTTTAGTTCTGGATATTTTGTTTGGGGACGCCACTTTAAAGTTTCTCAATTCTCAGCTTTCTATCTCGAAAATTTTGCAAGACTTTCATATTTTTTTAATTTGATCATTAACATTTTCATTGCATTATAAAATAAAATTAAACATTTTATGAAAAAATAAAAAATATTGAATATTAAAAAAAAAAAACAATGTCAAAGTGTAAAATAGATATTATTTAATGAGATAAAAAAAGTCTTGCACAATTTTGATCATTTTTAATAATTCGGTAAATAAAGGGTTTTAACACAAAAAACATGCACTTAAGTATTTCTTATTAACAGAGAGCATTAGAATTAACAAAATCTTAGTTTTAGAGGTCTCAGTCAATTATTTATCCTTGCTTAGTTTTTAACATAATTTTTAATGTTGCAAAGTTCATGTCTAGAATTGCAGGGATGATGCAGCAGCAGAAATGGTCTCAAGTAAAACAGCTGATTTGAACCCAATTAGAAACAGTTTAATATTTGGTAGATAAATTAAACAAAAGCAATTCATTATTTTTCAAACAAGAGAGCTTTTAAAAGTTCCAAAATAAAGAAGAATGAGATCACACTATTTAAATAAATAATGCCACAGGAAAGTATATGTTTATCTATAAAAAATATTTGAAATATTTGCAGTTATTTAGGATATATTTATTTATTGTGTCAATGTCTGCTTTTTGAAAATAATAAATACAAATTAAAATTTATGTTAATGAAAAATTGATATATTGCTTTTTCTAAATGAAATTTTAATGTTTAAGTAGTGATGAATAAAATTCATCAACATTATAAACCTTTCAAAAAATTAAAATACATATATTTCACAACAATATTAATAGAGATTTAATTTCTTAGCACAGATTTGGACTATCCTTTTGTTATCAAAAAAAAAACTTACTATATGATTTACATACTATAACATTTAGTAAAATCTTTCTTTTTTATTACCTGGGTGAAGTATTAAAAATTAAAGTTGCAAATATGCTTTAAATTATAAGTAGGCTAGATACTTTTCTTCGGTTTCCATTCATGAAATAGTATTTTCCACTTTTAAATTGCACAAATAAGAAATGCAATGTTTGATTTTAAAATCAAATGAATGCTAATCATGATGTTGGAATTTTTAAATTGTTTGGAGAGGAGTGATGATATGTGGCCTTTTAAGTCAACAGAATCACATTGTTGGATTTTAAAGCCATGTGAATACGAATCAAGTTGCTCTATTTTAAATTACATAAATATGAACCTTGATGAGTGATTTTTAAACAACGTAAACATGAATTATGAAAATTGTATGAATACAAATACCGTGTCATGTTTAAATTGGGCAAATATGCATCTAGATGTTTCATTTTAAAATTGTGTGAATACGCTAAGTGGGGATAATATTAGGGGATGTAATCCGTAAATCAGGTAACTATGAATAGATATATACCATTATAAACAGTTCAAACAAATATTAATCACAAATTGTAATGCTGTTTCTTTATTCAAATCACAATGTCTACTTTGTAAATGTCGCCAATGCGAATTGTGATACGAAACTCGTAATTGAAAGAGAATGAGAGGGAATCTGAAGAATTAAATTTTGCTTATTAATGATCAAAATTGCACATATAAAGTTAAATGAAAAGAATAAAAACTAAAATCTTACATGCTAATAATAATAAAATTGAAATAACGAGTTTCTAACCATTAAGGATAATAAAGTTTAGACAACAAACTTTAAGCCTAGGAAAACTGTTATACGGAGCAAAAACGAAATGCATATGCAAAAATGAAGATCATTAGGAAGAAATTCCACCAACTTCATTGTTTAGCTAACAAACAAAAATCTTCCAAGGAAATAGTGTTGCTTTAGATAAGAAAAAGCAGAATTTTCTTTAGAGCTGATTTTGATTTTTTTAAAGTAACAAACGGGGGAAAAAAATTCTCGTAGCAATTTTACTAGATTTTTGAAACACAATCCTCTGCCTTGACTGAAATTAGATAAAGATGTAAAAAAAAAAGAGATTAAACCAAATACACACATTTCATTGCGTAGTTTAGGAGAAAATGTTGCAAGAAAGCAGGGTTTGTTGATTTAAATCACAATTTAAATTAGTGAATTTTTTTTAATATTCATTTTAAAAGTTAAAAAACAGTGTTTTAAATTATTGATCCTTTTATTATTTTCTTTTCTTAGTTTTAAAATTTATTTTAAATAAATTGCTGCATAATTAATTTCAGTTAAACAAAATTACTTTCTTTCTAGGCGTGTATTAAATTCCAACACATTTGAAATTACATTTTTTTAAAAAATCTTTTGATTGTAGAGAAAGTACAGATTAAAGTAAACATTTAATACTGTATTAATAGTGACTTGCATAGCTGTAGAAAGTAATTAATAAACATGAATTTCTTTCACAAAAGAATACAAATAATGTTAATTAAAAATCTACCCTTTTATTGAAAAAGCATGGAATTAAAATCTACATTATATTTTATTGGTGGAAAATGCATATTTATAGTTTGAGGTGATATTAAAAAGAAATTACCGTAATATGCCAAAAATAGAAGAAAAAAATGCTGATGAATTCAGATATTTTTTTCCCTGATATAGTGTCATTCTATTAAATTAAATAACTCAGAATTAGAATTGTGCTGTCTCTTTTATCAATAAGTATTTTTTTCTCATAATAATATGTCTTTTTACATTATCATATTTTCTATAACGAAATTTTGTGAAAAAAATTCCAGTGAGTACATAGATTTTTAAAAAATTTTATTTTAGCTTAACTTATCTATTTTAATATAGAAATAAAAATGAATATTTTAATATAAAAATATATAGATTAAATATTTATTTATTTTTTGATGAATGATTAAACAAAATCTATGACATTTATTTTGTCATTTTAAAAATCAAGAGGAAAAAAAAAAGAAATCACAATTTTAAATTAAAATTATGGATTGCTACTTCAGAGCTCATTCTAGGCAGAAAAAAGGGCAGGGTGCAAAAGTTTAAAAAAAAGGGCATTATTATTCGAAAAGGGCAATAATTTCTTTCTATAGGCTTATGTTCTATTAAAAAACATTGTCAATTAGTAAAAGAATTTTTCTTCTTACTTCACTAACAGTAGCAAAGCAATCATATTTACTAATTTTTATTAATGAATTAACATATATACCGAGTTATTGAGCTAATTAGCTTAGTAATTTATTTAAAATGCGTGCATATATTAATAAAATAATAAATGTATGTTTTTAAGTGTCTGTAGTTATGATTTAATAATTAAAATGATTAATAATAATTATGATTTAATGATAGTGGAAGCAACTGCAAACTTTCAAAGACAAGTGCAACAAGGGGGTGTGATGGCTATTTTTTCTTTCCCATATAAATCTATGTATTGACAGCAATGACAAACTAAATAAAAAGAGTTGAAAATTTAAGAAATCCACTGTAGAGTTTGGGGAAAAATAAAGAATGGTTGAGGAAAGAAAGGGCAAAAAGGGTGTGGAGTCTATTACATCAAGGCACTAATTTACATCAGGGGCAACAGGGTGGATTCTTTCGACTAAAAGGGCAGCAGGGTGCTGTGTCCTGTTTACCCTGTCTAGAATGAGTTCTGGCTAATTGAAACTTTCTTTTAATAGTTAAAGTATTCTTTATACGTATTCTTATTCTTAAAACATTTATAAAGCTTTTTAAATCATAAATCAAAGTTCTTACAGTGTATTTGAATAAAAATCAAAAAAATCCAATTTAAATAAAATCAAATCAAAAGAATCACAAATCCTGCAAGAAAGTATAAAATATGGCATTTTGTTGCTAAATTACGCAAAAAATATGTTTCGGTGTGCTTCGCCGCAGCTGCATCATCCCTGGAATTATGGTTTATAGATCTTCTACTGCACTGCGTTGGAAATCCCAATTGCTTAGAAAAAACAATAAAATTGAGTCCTTATGAAGAAGTTTAAAATAACAAGTTTGTGTGAGGTCAACATTGACATGCAAGGAAAGGTGTACTAAAAACTAATACACAAAACATAGTGTAGCATGCACAACCCACCTGAAGAAGAGAAAGAGCTTAGGCTCCTGAAAATGCAAGCTTTAATTGTAGAGAGAAAAAGAGATACTGTAAATAACAGACAGTGTAAAGAAATTTTATGCATGCGATAACTCCAGTTATGAGCAACAATTCGTATGTATATAAAACAATTGATTTTTGTACATTGTTACAATGAATGTAAACATAACTAAAAGTAGGTTTTATGCACTCTATTTTCAGGGGTCTTTCTAAGTTTTGTGAAAATTAAAAATTATATTAAAAAATCAACACATAAATAAGGTAAAGTAAGAAAATATTTTCAAAAATTGTCACCACAAATAAAAATCATTTATGACTGCTAAACTTCTATTTATATTTTTTCCATTGGTTCAAAAACAATTTTGCTATAGTAAAATTTTGGGCTTAAAATTATATCCAAATTTAAAAATCAATAAAAATTATTGTCCACAGTTAAATTTCAACTTGAATTTAATAAAAACATACATTTAACAGTACTAACGCTAAAAGTTATCTTTGTTATGAGAACATATTCGAGTGGGTCCTACAAAAAAAAAAAAAAAGTTTCACAGAGAAAAAAAATTTTTCATTAAAAAAAATAAAGGTCTATTAGAATAAATTTATAACAATGCTTAAAACAATAGTTTGAATTTCAACTTCCTGTAAACTTTATAGAGGAACAGCCTTGTCATTTCATTTTTAAAAAAAAGCTTGCTTTAATATGGCATAAGCGACGAGTTACCACACTGCACTAATTGACCAAACATGTGCTACCTATTTGTAGAAGAGCTCCTTTTTTCTCTCTCCATAGATTACAACGAGAACGGGGTTTGCATGATACTTTTCCTCCACTTCAATTAAGGATTTCTCCCATGGCGGCCAGGCATGGGGAGGAAAAGTGCTTTTCTTACAAACCATGTCGGAAGTGAATTCCTCTACTAATAACAATGCCCTGATTTTGCAGAGGGAAAAAGGACCCCCCACATACTATAAAATATTCTTACATATAAAATAATGGACCTTTTTGAAATTGAGAAATGAAAGAAAGCACTTATAAAGCAAATTCCCTGAGATTTCTGGAGTTAAATATGAAAAATTTTATAGTTCAAATTAACATCAGTATAATAGTAATTTAAAAATTTACACACATATAGATTTGTATGCATTAAGAATTGAAATGTAAAAAATTTTTTCTCCCAAAATATAATAAGGGAAAAAAAATATAATAATTTTTTCTCCCAAAATATAATCCCAGTTGATTGTGAATTTTCAAATTCTTTGAAAATGTTCATGTTTCGAGAAATTGCGAGAACTTGCCATTTACGATGGATTAAATGAAATTTATAAATTAAATTATAATTTGAATAATGAAAGATTCATTTTAGATAGTTGTGAAAATTATTTCATAACAAAAAGTTCACAATAAATTGGAATAGTATAAGATTCAGTTTAGATGCTTGCAACATATTCTTCAATAACACACAAGTTAAAAAAAAGTTCCTTCTAATTTTGAATAGATGCTAAATGCTTTTAAGATAGCCATAAAAATTCTTCAATAACAAAAAAAATTTCATTATAATTTTGAGGTAGATAGGTATTTTATTTAAATCGCACTAGAGCTGCAAGACGGTCAGGGAAACATCTCCCAGGATGATCCGAAGACATGCCATCAGAATTTTGATCCTCTGCAGAGGGGATGGCTACTTCTCTTTTGGTAGCCCGACGAGGTACGTGTAAAGTCAAGAACTTTGCAGTAGAACAGTTTAAAGAAGACCGCTATCGGCACCCTCAGGCTTGACGCAGGCTGGTTGAAGTGGTCACCCCCCGCTTACTGACCGCAGCCAGTAATGGTAGACTTCGGTGTAATTTTGAACAGTTAAAGATATTAAATGCATTTTAGATAGTTGTGACTCATATTCTTCAATAACACAAAAGTAAAAAAATTACCTAATAAAATTATTACTTTTCAAAAGTCATTCAAAAATAGAAAAAAGCCACAACTCTCTTTCTCCCAAATAAACACAATTAATATACAAAAGCCCAGTATTTTTCTAAATAATTTATTTTCTATTGAAGATTTGAATATTTACTATGAATACTTTTTTTAAACAAGCACTACATTAAATAATTTATTTTGATAAAGATTTTTTTCCTTAGAACTATTGCTAATTTTAAAAAATTAACAAAAATAAGAATTCCACAAAGCTTCTTTTGTTAATGCTACAAACCTATCTGATTTTTTTTCCGCGATCTGTTTTCCACCATAATTAGATCATTTATGATGCGAAATATAAAGCTGCTCATAGCTGAATTGTCACATAACAAAAACAAACAAAAATCATACATATATTTAGAAAAAATATTTTGCACTGCATCAAATTCCAAAGGAAAAAACCTAAAAACATATGTTCAAGAAATACAATTACATTATAATGTCAAAGACATAACAGCACAGCTTAATTAATTCAAGACAACTAAACTTTCAAATTTAGTTACAATAATAATAATAAATAAATATTTTTTAGCTAATTAACATAATAGCTATAAAATTTCCAATTTTTTACAGATAAAATATTGAAAAAATTAATAAATATTCAAAAAAAAAAAAAATCTAAGGAGAAAATATTGAAATTCCACATTTAGAAAAGAGTAGAGACTACTATAATTGTTAAGATATGCTTAAAGTTAAATTTTATCGTAAGCATAATAATAAATTGAGGAATAAGACCCTTTTACTTTCATCATATTAACAAAGAGAGGCTTTGAACTACATTCTATACAGTTTTAAAAATCATGTTAATCCATTTTAAAAATAATTTTAATAACAGAAACTATGGCATCTTGTATAAATTTTATCGTTTATAATGTAATGTTTAGAGTACAATAATAATGCATACTTAATGGCCCATCTTCGCTGGATGGCCCTGGCCACGAAGACATGGATGGCTGCATAGACGGAGGTGGAGGTGGTGCAGCAACAGGAGTGTTGACGACTGGGTTGGGAGCTGGAGGAGGGGGAGCTGACACAGTTGGTTTTGGTGGTGTATAATTTGTTTCCTCCTCTGTGTTATCTGTAGAGTCATTGTTATGGCCATGACTATAATGGTAGGACAAACCAGGCCTAGTTTTATACCGGGCTCCACAGACTGCAATCAAATATTTAATACAGTTTAACTCATTTATTACGAGAACGTGTTTGAATCAGAGAACTGGTTAGATTATTGTAATAAAAAGTATAAAGAAATAGAAAATGTTTGCATACCTGCCAACATTGGATAAATAAAATAAAGGAAATTTTACTAGCGAAATTTTTCAGGCTACACGTAAAGTATTGATACATCATGCATAATCACGTAAGTCAAAAAGAGAAATATTATAAGCACTCACTTTTAGCAAAGTAAGAAATATGTACATAAATTTTACTCTAAAGATTTTTTTGAAACCATTATTTATACTTACTTAAACTACAAACACTCAACATACTGCAGTACTGGCAATAGCACCATCTGTTGAGGAATAGAATAGGAGAAGTATTTTTGCCATCAGTGAATATTTTATCGGCAAAAATTGTTTAAAAAAAATTTCTTCAACAAATATTGAGAAATTGGAGAATATACGGGTAAACAGGAGATAGTCGTAAAATACAGGATTCTTCGTTAAAAATAGGTAAATTGGCTGGTATGTGTTTAGTACTTATTAATAGTCTACTACTATCAACATACCATCTGCAGCCAGTGAATCGGAATAACACCAGATCATTGGCAACAAATAATGGAAGTAATCCATCATATCTATTATTTTAAAATCAGTAAAAAAAAAAGAAGCAATATTACGACAAAGAATCGTTGAGTTGATACAGAGGAGTCTCAACAATTTTTTCAAAACATATTTAAAGGTAGTGAAACATTCAATAAGTTCATTAAAGGCGAAATGTAATTATAATTTTTTCCTCTAGATTCTTATTAAATCTAAACTCAATGGTAAATACATATTTAAATAAAGGAATGTAAAGACACTTAACATTATCGAGACATAAGCTGATCATTCTACATAAAAACCAGAATAAGTGCCTTAAAAACACTTTTAGGTACCTATATGAGGTTGGCAGGGGTGATTGTGACACAAAGTGAAAAAACAAAGGAATGTTACATTGCAAAAAAAAAACAATGTCAATTTATATACTATGCATGTTTCGTATTTAAATTTTTTTTAACTAACATTTATAATTGAAAAATATCACACCTTTATAGTAACTAATTCAAGAAAAAACTTACTTCCCAAGAATTGCGATAATGCATTTTAGAAACGAAAAAATACACATTGCAATATAAACTTTTTGAATCTGAATCACGATGCATAATTTCTAGATCACACAAATACAAATTGCAATTGCGTAGTTTTTCAATTATGTATAAAAACGAAACTCGCTGTTTACAACCGCGTGAATACAAATCGCAACATTGGATTTTAAAAAAGCGTGAACATGAATTGCAAAATTGGATTTTAAACTTGCGTGAATAATAACAATCTGATAGAGAACCCTACCAGAGGAGATTAGCTTCAACTTCTTGATATCGGGTTTTAAAAATGCGTAAATACAAATTGCAATATTGGATTTTTAAATCGAGTGAATAGGAAACTCGATGTATGATTTTTAAATCGTGTGAATACAAGTTGTTATGCGGAACTTTTACATCAGATAAGTAGGAAAATCAATATTTGATATTAAAATCGTAAGAATAAGATATTAAGAGATCCCAAATATTCTGGAGAAAATCAGCCAAATCGAAAGAATCACATGTATGTAAACGTCTCGCTAGAGGGATTAAGCAAAAAGTTTAACAATTTTGTGGGAATATAAGTTTTTGTAGTTTTAAAGTTTATTAAAAGTTTTGGTATTTTTTATTATTATAAGTATTTTAAAGAACTTAAAAATAAAGAAAAAATAAATATAATTATTAAGATATGCATGCTAAGAAAATTATTTTCTTCCTACTGAATGTTATTATAGATTAAATTAACAAAATACCAAAATTGTTCACACTTTTGAAAACATGATAAAATAACTAGCTTGGGGCAAAGAACTCAATTATTGATTTTATTAGTCATAAAAAAAATGCGTTACTCGCAATTTTAAATATATTTAATAAAGAGTTTCTTACTCTATTTTTTAAAATACTAATTATATTATTAATTTTTGCAAAAAAAAAAAATATATTTCTAAATTTATGTAAAAATTTACACTAGTTATTATAAATGCTTACTTAACAAAATTATAAACAAGATTACAATAATTATAGATCATACTGAATTGATAAAAATGCATAGAAAATTTAACAATCTAAGAAAACCCTAAATAAATTCATATTACACATGTAGATTAGTGAATGCCTCCATATTAAATTTTTTTACTAAAATTTCCATTTTTTAGTATTTCTTTAATGGAATGATTTAAAACATTTTTCAATAATTTTCAAGTAAAATTACAATGAGTATTCTAACCTCAAAATTATTGAAAACCTTAATATCTTTGTCCAATATAAATTATTATATGATCCTCATCTTTATTATGTTTAACAAATCTGAGATAATTGAATTTCTGATTTCAACCATTTTTAAATTAAATGATAAAGAGATAAAATATATAATTTTGGAATGACAAATTTAAATCACATAAGATTTCTAAATGTATTTGTTAAATGTTTAAATAATGAAAAGTTCATTAATTCATACTTTTTTAAAAAAAATTAAGCACAAACGTTCATGTTTTAAGAAATCTCAACTCTAAAATGTCAATTTCCAATTTACTTCTGAAACATTTAAGAAAAGCCATCTCATGTAAAATCAAGAAGCTACTTCCCGAAATCCGTTAAGCGGCAATTTCCAATTTTTTCAAAAAATTAGGGTGAAAGATTAGGTTGGAACTACAAACATTCAAAAAAATTTAGTGAAAAAAAAATAATAATAAAAAGAACAGTTTTAAATTAGACAACAAAGTTTTTTTTTATTTTTTAAAGCCAAGCATTTTTAATAGGTGACTGTTTCAAAACTATTCCACATATTAAATTCTTTATTATTTCTATTTCTTAGATAACAAATAAAGCATTGTCAGATGAATGCAATAAAATATTAAGTTTGCAAATTTCTCAAAAGCAAATTTTTCATGTTAATTGATTAAAGATATTAACAATGTCATTTAATTTTTCTACTAAGATAATCACATTTATTGTAACTATATTTTGCTAAAGTGTATTCAGTATCTAAACAACAAATATAAAAAATTAAGTGAACATGGAAGATGGCTAATCAAAATTTTTTTCCTTATCTCTAATTAAAAAAGAAGGTTTAAAGTAATGTATTTAGATTCAGTGTGAGTGTAGATGTACACATTGGGTGTTCAGTGACACTTTATGTGCTTTCTAATAGTGACAAGTTAGTTTTTTCATGCTCAAACGCTATTTAATCATGGCAAGTCAACTTGTCATTGATCAACAACGTTTGGGCATAAAATCAATATTTAGAATGCCTTACTTTACTCTCATATTAAATTACAAAATAATATGAGGGTTGTAAATTAAATAGTGGCAACTTAACCATGAAACTCACAGAAGGGTGGGCATGCGCAAATAAGATATGGGAGCGGTGAGGTGGCACTGTTGTCGATGTGTAGAGTGCAAAAAACAGTCCATCTGCTTAGAAGGGTAGTTGTTGTGTGGCGTTAAAGTGAGGAGTTTCGTTTCCATCGCTCTAAAGCATGCTTTCAAATGGTGATCAGCGGTCGTGGCTTAAAATCGAGGTTGCCCGTGGCAAAAATGCAACAGAATGCTATCGAGGATTAGTGGAAGCCTGTGGCGCGAATACTTTACCGTATAGGACAGTAGCAAGATGTGTTCAAACATCTCGTCTTTTTTCGTCATTAAGCCTTTTGAAAGCATGCTTTAGAGCGATGGAAACGAAACTCCTCACTTTAACGCCACACAACAACTACCCTTTCAAGCAGATCGAATGTTTTTTGCACTCTACACATCGACAACAGCACCACCTCACCGCTCCCATATCCTATTTGCGCAGGCCCGCCCTTCTTTGAGTTTTAAGGTTAAGTTGCCACTATTTAATTTACAACCCTCGTATAATACGACATACTTTTTATGCTGGCCAATTAAATAAATACATTTAATAAACTTACTTTCACAGACATATGGCTTTTCTAAGTCAGTGTAGTCATACCGGTCAGCTCTTTTCCGTCCTCTACTACTCTAAAACAAATTTAAAAGGTTATCAGAATCTTGGATTAATATGGACAAATTAACTTTTAGAGATAATATTTTAAATTTAATTGAAAGGTGATTTTACTTCTGCTAATGTTCTTTCTTTCTTTTAGGGACAGCTTTAAAAATGCATAAAAATGATTTGTTTGACACAAATTATACTGACTGACATACACAGGGGTGATTGTGAGCCCAACTCAAAAATCCAGAAAATTTCGAGTAAAATCATTAATGACGCATTTCAAAAAATTGTCTTCATAAATTTAAATCATTGATATTTCAAAAACATGAAATTGCAAATAAATTATATGCAGCATAATTTAAATGAATAAGTTTACTTTTATATTTCTTATGTTTACTTTAAATATATAAGTTTACTTTTATGTCTATTCACATTTATTATCCCCCCTCCCCCACAAAAAAAATATTTATAAATGAAAGAGATGTCAATTATAAATTATAGTTCTAATATTTTAATAAAATATGCAAGAATTTTTAGACATAAATGTGATCGATGATTTCTTGAAACTTCTAGACCTTAGATTTCCGGTAACTTCTGGATAGTGGTTAGCAAAAAATCCAGAATTCTTCCTGAACACAATCATCTCTGCATACAAAGCAGCAAGAACAGATTCTTTTCGGATAAAAATACTAGTGGCGTTTCTTAAGAAGCCCTTTCTCGAAAAAAAGTCATTTAAAGATTATTAATTCGTTACACTATAAAAACTCACTCTTATTTTCTTTTTCTTTTTGCGCACATAAGTTTCTTCATAGTCCTCAACATCAGTATCAGGATCTTCCACTTCAACACCCATATCAAATTGTTCAGGAGTTTCCTCAAAATCCTTGTACCAAGAATCTTTTGAATCTTCAGCAATCTTATCATTACTGTCCAAATTATCCTGTACCCCAGACATGGAATTTTCATTAACGGACAGATGGTTCTCTAGAAATAGTTGAAAGTGACATAAGAGTTAAATAGATAGTGTTATTAAGATCATCTTGTAGAGTTTATAAATAAAATATGTATTCATTATTTAATGTAACTTTACAAAACTTGTATTTAGTTATGACAGATGATTTCTTGCATATATTTTAATGTAATTATATTGGGAATATAGAAATACTTGTAAATTTGTTTACTATAATTACTCAACATATATGGTTATTAAAGTTATCTCACACAGTTTACAAATATATAGTAAAAAATATACATTTCTTATCTTACATAACTTGCATATTAGTTAAAAAGACTTTTTTCAAAACCATTTTTATTTTAATTATGTCTGTTTAACTCATTAATTTTTGTATCTTTTTTTAATAAAAAACTTTATACATTATTGCTACCATGCCAAAAGTACAAATCTGTCAATCAATAAGATAGCAAACTCATGCTTTTAGAATGATGCGGTTGATATAAACCAGGAAATTTCCATTAATAGGGTCCTTTTTTTAATGTGTCAATTATTACCATTCGTTTTCGCTTAAACTAATGCTGAAAAATTTTTATTCAGTAATAATGCCCATTCATATAAACTTATCCATATATAATGACCAACTTGAATTGTTCCTTGCAATAATCATTAATATTTTTTGAAATATAATAAGACTAATATAATTCAGCGAATATTTCCTAATATAATGCAAAAAACCCTAACAAATTGTAAGACAAACTTAAAATATAAAACTTAACTTAATATCTTTTAACTCTCTTTTTGAAGATAAACAGGTTGATATTTGTGTAATTGATACTTAAATAAGGTAGCAAATAGAAGAAAGAAATTGAAGAACTTGATTTTTACCAAAAGAATTTTTAATCAAAAGAAAAAAGCCCTAATGATAAATTTATATATTATAATAAGTAGTAATTATTATCATGCTCAATTATTTCAATTGAGACAAACGTTTAATTTTTTGTAGTAAGAAAATTTAAAATTTTGATTTAATTATTCATAAAAAATATATTATTTAAAAACATTTTGGTTTCTTAAGACTTTTGTGGTCTTATAATGTTAGATAATTTGAAAACATCTAAGAAACTTCAACTCAAATTTAACGAAGCTTTCTCCCAAAAAAATAAAGACATTAAAAAATATAAAATCTAACCCTAAATAATAAACATAGCTAACAAAAAGATACAAAATGACATCAACATAAAAAGATAAACAATAAAGTATTTTAACTATTTCCAAATACAAAACCCTAAAATCCAACTAATATTTAAAATGTTAAAAGAAATTAATGTTTAATTAATACCAAAAAATCTATAATGAAACTGCAACAAACAAATAAAAGTCTACTTGGAGTTTAAACTTTCTACGACTTAAAATAATTAATGATCAATTAGTATGCCCAATATTAAACTCATTCCAATAAATAAATTAAAATTACATAATTTTTAATAATAGAAATAGTCACCTTATTTAAATTTTATATGAAACAACTACCATTTTAGACTAAGCTTCAATTTAAATGTGAAAAATTAAGACAAACTCAACTCTAATATCGGAACTTTGATCGATAAATCTTTTGGCCGATAAACATAATGCCTACAAATTTATTATTCAAGAGGCAAAAACTTAACTTCAATTTTTAACATTGGTAATAATTAGTGTTTGATTGATAAGTAAAGAATAGTCAGAAGAATTAGTTTTTAAAAGATTTTATTGTATTAGAATTTTCTTTACAAAGTAGGAACACTTTTTTTTTTTTTTAAATATAAATGAATGTCACTGATATAAATGATATGAGATGAGATGATGGTGAGTCAATTCAACTGACCTGATTCATTATTTTCAACTTCTTTTAATCGACGCGTGAGGTAAAAATTATTCATCAGATACTGTCTTCGTTTTTTCTTCCACCTCCTGGCAGGATACGAATACAGCTGTCCGTCAATTTTCCCCGGCATCCTTTGCCATTTGTGCATCCAGAGAGCGCAATCGCTTTGAGCAACTCCTGTTTGTTGATCAAGAAAAGGCAGCCTCATCTTCCTTTCCAAGCAAAGGCGGGTGTTATAGCTGGCAGCATGCTCCATTGCATCCTTATAGAAGGAATCATTAAGAATGCTAAAGGAAATTAAAAAAAAAACATGTTTTTAAATATAATGAGCAAGTCAATTTAATTTCTTTTTTTTAAATGACTGTCATCCTCTCACCTAGATTAATTACCTTGATATCATCATAGAGAATGAAATGTTCTCTACATTTTTGCAATTTTTAACACAATTCATGTTGCAATTTAAGAATTGGAATAAAATATCATGCTTAAGAACATCATTAAATAAATTAAATTAAATAATCATCTTATGAATCACTCTTCTACTTACTGCTCAGGAATCAAAGTACTACTCGCATCATGTAAATTCATCTTAAAAAAAGGCTCGGTTGAAAATAATTGGAATTTAGGTTACGCACAAATGAAACCCGCTTCACTGACAATAATGAAATTCTACCTCAGCTTTCAACTCAATTGTAATAACAGAAACATCCTTAAACATACTTTGTTAACACTAAATCTCTTTTTTACGCTAACAAAGAGTATGTCTCAAGACGTTCCCAATCAAGAATTGAGATAATTTTTGGCTTCTTATGGAAATGTTCATTTATTAAATCTTAACGAATTTTTTTTTAACACCTTATGTGCTATACTTGAAATTATTAAAAAACACAGAATCAGAGCATAGGAACGAGATGTTATAAAATGATGCTTAACAAAGTGTTCTAATTAGGGCTTATCATTTGTGAGAAAATCGAAAAAATTATCAAAAGGAAAAAATAAGTCTTTTATTGCAGAGTAAAAATTTAGTTATATGATGAATTTATTATATTTCATATGAAAAGAAATGTAATGCTTCGAAAAACTTATATTATTTATAGAAATGTTCCTTATTTTCTTTTAATCTAACTCAATTTTTTTTAAATTAAAAATGATTTGTTTGNTTAAAAGGTTTAGAGCACTAAGTTCCTTTGATGCTATAAAGAAACAATGATCTTTAATGAAGCTTTGTGCTGACAACAATGAATGAATGAAAGAAAAAAATTCATATATTGTTTATTTTTGTAGAATTAAACAAGTAAAAAAAAACAAGATTTTTAGGCCTTAGAAATTTAAGAGCATAAAAAGTTATCGCTTTAAATGATTAGTGTCTAATAAAATTTATATGGAAAGTGCTCTTCCCTTTAAAATTGCTAACACATTTTATTTCAGCTTCCCTCTCTCCTTGTCTTGTTTATTGACCCAGCATTTATATTTTACTCATCTTTCAATTAATTAATTTACAATTTCCCCCAAAGAAATGTATTTTTATTCAACAGAATTTGATTCCTGACCCTCAATATACGGAAAGCAGCCTGGAAAATATGATCCAAACAGTTTGGTTAGGAGAGTAGTCTAATTTTAAATTTTGCCACATCTTAAGAACTACTTAAGCAATTTGAAAATTTTTTGCTTACATTTGTAAAATTCGTTTATCCAAAGACAAATCCATGTAAAAAATAACTTTAAGTAGATATTTATAATTTTAAGTAATATCAATTTAAAAATTTTGATTCGTAAGGTATGCAAATTTTTACAACATTTTAAACAATGTCATTTATTTTATGTGGCATAGTACAAAATTTGAATGAAAATAGTGGAATAGTTCTCCTTGAGTTTAATATGCTTTTCGAATTTTTAATTTTTTTGAAGGTCAGGAATCTAAATGCGTTGAAAAAAGTGCATGCTTATTTATAGAAAACAGTAATTAATTATCATACTTAAGGTCACCCTTTAAACCATTAAAATTGAATCTTTGTGCTAGTAGATCTGATCACTAGATTAAAAGTTATTCAGGGTGTCCTGTTTTATTATTATTTTGCGCTCTGTACACTTTTACTTGCAAGTAATGCAGTTTATTTTAACATGTGCAACCCTTTTTGGATTGCTTACACTCTTTTTCCTCCACTTTCCTCTTTTTGGATGAATTATTGCTTGACCAGCAACAAAAATCCTGTGGTTCATACATGTTAGCAAGAAAACACAACTTTATAATTACTCCAAAGCTGACAGGGCTCGAAAAACCGACCGCCCTCGGCGGTCAAAAATTCCCATCGGACAACAAATTTCTCGAATCCGACGTCCATGCGAGAGGCCATTTTCCCGTCTTGACCTTTGTCATTTAAATTATTTCACAAAAGAAATAAATTATTTCATAAAAGAAATAGTAAGTTACTATTAGGAGCATTATTTTGAATTTATTCTAATTTATTTAATCTTTCAATTGTTCCTCATTGTCCAATTACAATTATTGTCCTTCATTAAATACACTTTTATTATAAAATTCAATTTGAATGACAATACAAACAAAATAACAAATGTTGGCTTAAAAATACAAATGGAACAAACAATTCCTTGCAATTGAATAAGAACATCAAACTATAGGATTGACTGCTGTTGTAAAAAGGAAAGGAAAGAAAAGAAGATTGCTGCAATTGAAGAAAGCAGGAAAGATTTTTAAGAATCTGTCAATTTTAAGTCTTAATTAAAGTCGAGCACTCTAAATAAAATAATACAACAATGTCTTTGAATAAAATCAGAATATTTGGCCATGTTTCTATTCACAAAATAATGAAAAATATAAAATTTTGTATATCTTTCAAAATCATATAAATAATAAAACCTTACAATATAATAGTTCTAAAACTAATCTGAAATTTTAAGAAGTTTCTTTTATCTTTGGTCATAAGAGTGTCAGCAAAATTTTTTTTTATTTTACAATGATTAGTTTTTTTTTTACCTTGAAAACTATTAAAATAGTATAAAGTACCTATAGAAATACTCCATAACTAATTGGAAATTCCTATAAAGTTAAACGAGTTAGATATTTTCGCATATATGAGTATGCAGATAATCACATGCTTATAGATTTTACTAATCTGAATTACGTAGATAAAAGTCTTCATTTTTGACATAAAACATATCAAAATCCCTGTTAATAGAAAGTTTTTCACACACTTCTTTAAAAATGTGTAAAATTTCCTAAGAGAATATAAAGTTTGCATTGAAAGAGAGATCGCCTTCTACCCCTCCCCTTTTAAGATTTATGTTATAGAAAGAAATTTTTAAACTAATTAAAAAAAAAAACTTAAAAATTTTGCATCACAACACACAGCGATAAAAGATCCACCTCCTCAATGCTTCTTTTTTAAAGCTTAATTGTGGATATTAATAATTATCATTTTTAATAAATAAAAGGTAACTTGATTTTTAACTCTCGATGAAATTTTGATACATTTTAAATTTTCCCAATAAAATTTTTTTTAATACGAGTACATTATAACTATTTTTGTAAATCATGAAATCATTTTGTATTCATAAAGACTCCATTCCCACCTTTTGATACCAGAGCCATTACAGCTATGGCTAACTCTAGGAATTCAGCATATTATCGATCAATACAAGATCGCGATTTTGTATATGAATACAAGACATTTAATGAAATATTATTTAGAATGAAGTTGATTCTTATGAAATTAATTGATAGTACAGATCAAATTAAACACAAATTTTGTAAAAAGGATGATCAAATAACAAACCTTTTTAATCGTTCCAGATACTCTGTTCGGACATTCAGCGTATCGTCCGCCATTTTTCAGAGTTTAAAAACAAAAATAAAAAGTAAAGTAGCGGTAATGCCATTTTGTATGTAAAAAAAAAATGTCGAAATTCTTGTAATGGCCTTGCCTGTCAAATTTTTTTGAAAATTTAAATACTAATTAATAAACTGTTTTATCATTAGATAAAAGTATAATAACAAAATTTTACAACGTAAATTCTGTCAGACTAATGAAACATTCGGTTAATTACATTGGAGGCAATTTTTTTACTTTTTATAAATTCATGATGTGATTTTCTCATGCATTACTTTCAATTATCTGTTAAATTTATTCAATTCTTCGAGTTTTTTATAAAGAAAGATTACTACTTCCATCAAAAAATTTTTTTTTTTAATTCTTTAAATGCAAAAAAAAGTGAGAAGAATCTGGCACCATAAAAATTAGTTATGATCGTAAACATGGCGGACGATGCATTTAAGAAGTTACGGTTTCTGCGATGTAAATACCAAATTGATCTAAGAGAAATCTTAAATGACAATGTACTTTATAAAAATCAAATAAATCATCGATCTATCAAGTACTTAATATTTGATTCATCGTTGTTCATTTCTAAGTTAAATGTGAGGTTTTCCAGTAATATGTAAACAGTAAGTTGTCACTTCTAAACTAGCATTTTAATATGGATTATTGAACGAAACATTACCCGTCAGAATCATTTTAAATTTTATTGTAATGCTCCTCAAGAATTCTTATAAATATATTATTATCGATTTGACATATTTCGAGGCCTTTTTCTAAAACAGATTGTTTTAAATTCATTTAATATTTGTACATTTAATGCAATTAGTAGCTGCGTAAGTTTTTTTTAAGCAAGTTATTGAAAATTTTGATGAGTTTTTTGCCGTGGACAATTCTTTATCACATTTTATTATGATGTTTAGTTTTCAGTCTCTTTTATTTAAAATTTTACATTTACATTTCTTAAAATTAAGAAATATGTTTGGTGTTTATATCTTCACTAAACTTTTCTGATTTCTCTTAAAAATCAGAACTGTTGTGTTGAAACTCTTAAAAAAAAATTCTCAAAAATAAATAATCAATTTAATATTCTAGTAAATTCAATATATATTTGAAAAAATCTGAAAAATCATTCTACATTATATTGTGTTCTAATTTAAAATACAATTATTCTAAATAAGAGAATATTGTTATTTAAGATTTTGTAAAGTAACTGCCTTTTTACAACATTTTAACTTTTAAATCGTATTTCTATCTCATTTTTATTTATTATTAAATAAGTAGTCAATTGGATGAATACATTATGTAAACAGATAGATAAACAAATGAATGGTACTGGAATACTAAAAACACAACTGATTTAGTGTAGGTTTATTAACTGGTATAAAAGGTTTTTCATTTTCTATTTTATGTCCTGATAAAAGTCAATATAAATGGATGAATATATTGTATAAATAGATAACATACATACCTTATTTATTACAACTAGTAATACTATATATTTAACTTGTTTATAAATAGCAATTGTTCTAAGTGAGAATCTTAGAATATTGCAGTTAATATTAAAGTTTTTACTAAATTAATTAATGATTACAATATTTAACTTTCAAAATGTAATTTTATTTTATATCCTGATAAAACTAAAGATCATAATCGAGCCTGATTTAATACAATTAGTAAACAAGTTACAATGTAATTGAAAGATATTCATATTTCTTCCAAGAACCAGTTTTAGTCATACTATATATTAGGCTTTACTTATAAATAGCAAATAATCGATTTATAATTAGTAGCTAATGTTTTAAATGAGAAATTTTGAATATTGTTATTATTAAAGTTTTTATTAGATTAATTGCTTATTACAAAATTTAACTTTCAAAATATATGCATATTTTACTTTCAGATAAAAGTATATAATGAATCTGATGATTTTATGAATAGGTAACATGCACATCTAATTTAATAAGCAAGTTCTACAAAATTTTCACAAGAAACAATTTTAGTCATACTATATATATTGAACTTGATTTATAAAAAGCAAATGTGCAAGTCTATAGAACTCATAAAGTAAGTTAAAAATATAGAGGAAATATTAAAGATTAGTGCAAAGAAAAGAGGAAAAATTATCAAAATAAAATATTTAAAGAAAAAAAGTAATCATTAAAAAGCCAGAAAATAAAAAACAAAATGAAACGATTAGAAAGCGCTCCTTTTTACGGATATAATCCTGTGAGCTGATAAAGAAATTATATCTTTTCATTTTTTTTCCAGCTTTTTAATGTATATTTTTTATTTATTTTATATTTTACTTTAATAATTTTTCTTCTTCTCTTTGTATTAATCTCTAATATTTATCATGTTTTCTCTATATTGTTAACTTATATATATATATACAGTGAAACCTCCGTTAAGCGGACATTCATGGGACCAAAAAATTTGTCCGTTTATAAGAGTTGTCCGTTTACGGGAAGGGTACCCTAATAACGAAATTTAACACCGTAAATTGTTTTTTGAATATTCTCAAAGATGTAGAAATTATTAAATAATATCTACAAGGATACTGTAAATATCTACAAGAATATTTATTTAAACAATAAGAAAGATAAAAAAGAATATATAAAGAAGTTTGATATAAATACATAATTCTGGATGTAGCTACAGATAAATAAATATAATTTTCCTATTAGCATAGATACTCAAGTTAGACATATGATACCAAATAGGAGCGTACTGTCCTCAGTCCGTTTCAATTATTAGGTTCACATCCCCTTACACCTACTTATCATTTGATAGGGAACATGGTTAATACCTTCTTGGAAAATAAACCTCCCATGATTCACAGAAAAAAAAGTAATGCATACCTGTAAGTCATGAGGACCTATGGAGATGATTATTCACAATTGATCAGCTATCAAGTGTCTGAATAAATGTTTCATTTATATAAACACCTCAAAGATTATACTTCTGTTCTCTTTTTTTTACCCCAGTTGTGTTAAATACAGTCTTCAAATTGATAAGAAAATTAAAGAAATTTTCAATGGGGAAGAAGCATTGAGAGAAGTCATTTCAACTTGAGGGGTCTCATAACCTGTGTGGTCCAGATGAAAAGATCAAAAGATGCCGATGTCAGAATTATTTCAGGAGTGCAGTACCATTTTCTCTCCTTTCTTTACAAAGATAAGGCAAGGTGACAGGAGAAAGATTGATTTTTCGGTGGTGAAATAGCTTAACAATATTTTTAGTTATGGATAAGGCAAAAAGTTTTATTTACATGCTTTAAAAATGGTGAAAAGTTGCATTTTTTTAGCTTGCAATTTATTTAGAAAAAGTAGTGTCCGGTTTGTAGAGATAAAAAACAACGTTTCAGGATCAAAATGACTGTCCGCGTCCGGTTACGGGAGTGTCCGCTTTGTGGAGAATGTACATAATGGTTTATTCATAGAAGATTCCCGGGGAATTAAAAATATGTCCGTATTGAGAGGCGTCTGTTTTGCAGGAGTGTCCATAACAGGAGGTTTCACTGTATATATATATATATATATATATAGAATGTTAGGTAGATAGATAATGTATTTTATTTATTGCAATTAGTAAATAAGTTCTAGTTGAAATAGATTCAAATAATGGATATAATGGCTATTTTTCCTTTCTCATATAAATCTATGTATTGACAGCAATGACAAACTAAATAAATAGAGTTAAAAATAACAAAAGTTTAAGAAATCCATTGTAGAGTTTGGGGAAAAAACAAAGAAGGGTTGAGGAAAGAAAGGGCAAAAAGTGTATGGAGTCTATTACATCAGGACACTAATTTACTTCAGGGGCAACAGGGTGGATTCTTTTGACAAAAAAGGCAGCAGGGTGCTGCTCCCTGTTTACTCTGCCTAAAATGAGTACTGTTTAATAGTTTAAGTAATTATAAGTAATGGTTTAAAAGAATCTTCTTTAGATTAAGATTTATATATACATTTTTTACTTTGCTAATTGTAAGTGCTTATATTATTTCCAAATTTGAATTTCTCTTTCCGATTTAAATGATGTATCAAAACTTTACTTGTAGCCTAAAAAATATAGCTAGTTAAATCTCCATTATTTATTTCTCCAATGTTGGCAGGTATGCTATTTTAATAAAATTATATATTGATATTTAATATTAATTCATTGTTACTTAAAATTTTGCTTAAGAAATATTTATGACTAATGAGAATATGTAAAGAAACTTCTTTTGAGTTAAATAAAACTAAAATAAATTGTTAATTTTGTATGCATTTGAATATTTTAGGAAAATTATAAATTGATGTTTAATATTCGCTTATTATTACTTAAAATTTTGCTTAAGAAATATTTATGGCTCATGAGAATATGTAAAGAAATTTATATTTAGTTGAATAAAACTTAAATTAAAATAAAATAAATCATTCATTTTGTATGCTTTTGAAATCATATTTCATTTTTGAAGATAAAAAACTTGAACAGCTATTGATAATTTTATAACTTATCTTTTATAATAGAAATATTACTTATATATTGTGATTATTACGCAACAAGGCCTATTCATAAGGGCAATTTTTAAGGTGAACAAAATTGAAGTAAACAGTCTTAATAGCTCTCTAAATTTTACACATAAAAGAAACTTTCTTAAATGTGCTAAATACGTACAAAATGATTATTTCTTTCTCGTCTTTAAGGAATTCATGAATTTAGAGGACTTTCAGTGATTTCTAATTATTCAAATACTCACCATCCCACCCCCACCATCAATGCCCATGTCTACATTACTTGTTTATTAAAAGATTTAAATTTCATGATATATTAATTTATTATGTTCTGATATAAAAGTAAATAATGAATTAGATATAAACAAATAATCTCATTTTCTGTAATTAGTACATACAAGTTATTAATAAAGAAATTTTTATATTTCTAAGAACTAGCTTTGCACTCATTGTGTATTCATTTTTTGTCATTTAAATTTTAGCCATACTATTTATGGGTGTTTTGTAACTTAAAATTTTGATTTCTCAATTTAAGAAATATTCATCAGAACTGAAAAAATTGAATTTAAAAAGATAATTTATTTAATCTTTTTAATTTGAAATCATAATTCATTTTTGAAAGTAAAATATCTCAGAAACTATTGATAATTTTATAACATATATTTAAATGTAGTAAATATACTAATGAGATTTTTAGAGCATTGTATAATTAGTAAAAGTTTTACAGTCCTGATATAATACTGCAATTTTTTAAACTACTTTCTTAGGCCAATTCAGCTGGCTATTGCTCAATTTACAATATTTTCCCTCCAGGTTGTCAATATGTTTTGCATCCGAGGGATTTTAAGATTGTTATGACATTTTTCATGGCTCTATGGTCATATTATTCAAAGAAATGTAAATTTTCAGTTAGACAAAAATTCTTCCCCACCATCTTGCAATATTATTGCACCAGGTTGTAATATTATTGTAAGTAACTCTTTCTAGTCAACTTGCAATATTTTTGCATAAAATTCTCAGTATTTTTTAGCATCTAAGTGATTCAATGATAAATTTTTGTAAATTCTATGGTTCCTATGACATTATTTTATGGCCCTATTATTTCATAGAGTTTAATCCTTCCATTGCCTCTTGATTATAGATTTACCCATTTGTTTAATGCTTTTTTTCAGGTTATATAAGGTTATATATCTTCTTTCAGGTCATAAATTTCTCCCAGTTTTTTCTCATGTACCACAATTTATTCTCTTTTGCAACAAGCTAAAATTTCTACTTTCAGTCTATTACGCGTGAAACATTTTAAAAATATTTAGTTTGAAATAGGCTGAAATTTTTATCTGCTTTATCACTATTTTAAAAAATGCGAAATTTTAATTACTAAGTATCCTAAACTTAATTATGAAAAGTTCTCATTTAATTTTTAAATAGATTGAAAGAGATATGATGCAGAAAGACAAAGATACTGAAAACAACAAAAATCATTTATGACTGAGAAGAGGAGAGATGTTCACAGTATGAAGTTCTCTCCAAAAGCGTGAATTCAAACTTTCCCATCAAAAAATTCTTTCATTAAAATTTTTTGTATTTTTAAATTGTAGAGTTATTTTGGACTGAGTAGAGAACTACCTGCAAAGATTTCCTAGTTTGACATACATAATTGGCTTTTTTTTTTTCTTTATGAAACATTGAGTAATTTCCTTTATTAAGAATTATTTACTGTAAAAGAAATACTTTAAAAATATTTCTCAATAGTCTTAATTATGTCAATGATAGACATGATTTGATGACTTATTTTGTTCAAAATTATTATGCTTTAAGAATATTTTATTTTTTAAAGGTTACTTTTCTAATTTGGAGAAGTCATGGATCCTACATCATGGTCAGCTTACAGTCAACATTTCTCAAGACTAGGAGCTTCAATGAATCATCCGTCTAGCGCTTTAACACCACAAGCTCAGATGAATGATCTTGCATTATCTTCTTCTTTGCCTCGACAGGAGCATATTCCTGGTTATGGCAATGCTGGTGGACCTCATCCCTTCTTATTGGCTGCTTCTCATGGCTTGAATCCCTCCCAAGCCAATCACAATGATCCATCTTTCAATGCAAATTTATTTGCAAATTATGATGCTAGTCTTTTCTCATCTTCTTTCCCACCTGGCAATAAGGGTCATCTCTCATCATTTCCTCAAGGAGGGTTGTTTAAAGCTGTCAATCGAGAAAATGATTTTAATGATCTCAGAACAGGTTTTGCTCATTGTGGTATGGCAGCCTATTCAAGAAATTCTGATGGGAGTAATGCCTTACCTGGTAGTGCAGGACATTTATTTCCTAATTCTATGCCACCAGGATCTTGGAGGCATTCTGGAATGATCCCTTCAAACTGTGGACCCTTTGGAGTCTTACCACATGAAACTGTATTGCAAAGATCTCATTTAGTTGGAAGAGGTAGTGAAAAACTGAGTGGTCCAAAACAATCTCGAGGTTCAATACCAAATAGTTCTTTCGTAGAGCAAGATTTGAGCAGGGGGTATAGAAGCATTCTTTCATCACCAGCTCGGCCACCGTCGTCTTACGTAGAAGGCAGTAATACGTCACATTCCACATTGTTGTCCCCTCAAAATGATCCATATTTCTCTTCAGTGAGTGATAATTATTACTCCTCCTGCTCAAAAAATGACTTTGCTGCATATAGCTCCTATTGCTCTAATATGCCACCTTCTGTTCAGAGAGGTTCAATATCACCCTATTGTTACTCACAAACATTTGGAAATTTTGATTCCATGGATAAATCGGACCAGATAAACAGACCCGAAGCTACAAATGCTAGCACAAAACCCAGTGCCAATTCAAACTTCACTAATTTTGTGCCAAACAACAGCTTAAATGGCAGCAATCCATCTCAAGTTCATAATGGCCAAATATCAAGACAGTCTGTTATAACGAGCAATGTTAGTAACAATTCATCTACTTATAATTCTGAATCTCATCCCAACCATTCTTATAACTTACGAGAGGCATATCCATATCCTCCTGTTCCTCCTCCTAATGATAGCAGAGAAAGAAACAGGCAGTCAATGGCACACTCAAATAATAATCATTCATCTGCTAGTCAGAATCTGTATCCACCTATGAACACTCCCATTCCTGCATCTACTCCCGCCCATACTACACCACCCTCTTCATCTATGGGTCAGGCTTATGTACCAACACCTTTACCTTTGAGCCATGATAGTGGTTGTTCATCTGTTAATAGTCAGTCTGTAATGTATCATTCACCTTCAAATGATGGGTGTTATTCGACTCACTCGGAATCGGGTTCTCCTGCTAAGCAAGATTTATCTTCGCCATCTGTTTACTCGATTGAAAGCAGTAATTTGAGTGTTAACAGTGGGCCTTTCACCGATAATCATCATGGCCGTGCCGATGGTAATTACGGGAACGGCCCGTCGGAAGTAGTCGATAACAGTGGTCGAAATTCGGCTAAAGCGATCGACAACTGCCGCTCTTCACGCAAGGATGCTCATCTAACACCTTTAGATATGGTTAAAATGAATAAAGAAAGCTATCAGGGAGATGTTAATTACACTAATAGAAGACCCGTGCAAACTCAGGCTCATGCAAAGAATCATTCTGAAGGGACTATCAAAAGGAAAAACGACTTTCCATTTTCACCAAACTCCTCACCCTCTGTTCTCGATTTTGCTTCAAAAGACAAAGCTAAGCTCGATCGTAAATGTAAAACAGACGTGTCGACTAATTCGTTGCCTCTAAATTGCACATATTCTCATTTGCAAAATAGACAATCTCAACTATCATCTCCTGAATCGGCAGGAGATGCGGAGGATAACAAAAATGACAGCACCTCCATACAGAGCAATGAAAGTCTTTCATTGGATGAAGAAATGCCTGTTACTAGCTCTCCTCTTCCAGTTGACTTGTCACAAGTAACGTCCATGAATTTAACCTCAAAGAAGTCTGATTCTCCTGTTGGGGACACAAAGGATCATCTTCCTGACCTAAACTATGAGACAGATAAGTCTGGAGGGAAGTGGTCTCTAACAAAACAAGAACTTTCAAAAGAGAGTGGTGGTGATGATGAAAAAAGTGCAGTGAACAGCATGAGTGAAAAAGATAAAGATGAACCATTGATAAGAACACCTCCTCCTTTAGATGAGCTGTCTGATGAATCAAAAAAGTTGTGCAATAGTATTGAAGATTTAGGATTCCTCGCTGGTCTCTCCTCAGATCCTGATGTCGAAGATAGTGCTTCTAAAGGTAGTTTTTCTGATAAGAAAGGGAAAAGAGAGAAAGGACTTTTGCAGTCCTTTCTTACATTTCTGGAAAGTAGCAATGATCCTCCAGTTCCTACAGACCCTATAAATCTGGAATCAAAACCAGATCAGAAAGAAGATGTTGTGAATTCTCCAAAAAGTGAAGAAATTGTAAGGAAAGAGGATGACGAGATCCCTAATGATAACTCCAAATTAGCTGAAAACAAAACTTTAATCGAAGAGCACGACGATAAAGACAATTTTGATGAAGCTCCTTCTCTAGATCCCACTTTATTTGGTTGTTCCTCGTTGCAAAAAGAAATGGTCGTGCCAAATCCGGAAGCTCCTTCGTTTTCGTCAGACGAGGATGAAAACTCAACGCAAGATATATTTGATTCAGTTGCCATGGCTATTCAAAGACTTTGTGAAGATAATGAAGAAGATCACACTGATAAAAATAAATCTTCTTGTAAAGGTAATGCTAAAAAAGAAATATCTGGTCAGAGTAGCTCGGAACCCACCCATAACGTGGAACAGACTACTGATAATAATGTAACCGTTAAAGAAGAGACTCCCGAACAGTGCTCTATAAAAAGTGCTCGAGTCGTGAAGAAGAGAGGTAAGAGGAGGAAAGCGAGTCATTTACTAGTCATAAAAGTGAAACGTAATGCAGAAAAACCTCCAACAGACGTTAAGAGTTCAAAAACTATTTCAAATGCCAAAACAAGGAATGCTTCTAAAGTGAAGCAAAACTCTCAATGTTCTCCTAGACGAGTGTTGATGCGAAAATGCAAAGAAAAGGATTTAAAAAATAAGAGAGCTGGCTCTAAGAGAAGTGGGTATAATTTACGCTGTATTTTACATTAATGCAAAGACATTATGTAAAATTTTGTCTGTCTTTAATTTATCTGTCTTTAATTTATGAGTTTATTTAATGATATAATTAATAATTTGACCGATAATACAATTTGATTTTACAATACAATTTGGTACTTGATTTAAATATATTTACTGCAATAATAATATTAAACCAAAATAAAGTTGTCAATAGTTTTCAAATGTTGCCAGGGCGTCATAGATGAAATTGGGTGATTTGGCATTTTTTGTTCTAAATAAAAGAAAAATACTGTCACTTGATTGCTTCATTGAGACATGACAATTCACATGCAACGGCGTCTGAATGGGAGGTCATTTTCATTATTCGACAAATTTTGCTTAGCAATTTTGCATATTTACAACAAAAAAAATTTCTCTTATTTTAATAAGAAAGCACTTATGAAATTATGAACAATGCATCTTACTTTTTTTAAATTTTAAATTTATTTAGAGTAATTAATTGGAAAGCAATAAATAAAAGAAAGCTTAGACTTTAATGTTATATAGAAAATATCAAGACATAAAAATTGGAGTATTAAATAAAACTTAGGAGAAAAAAATTAGATATAAGGCGGAGCCCTCTTGTGATTATAAAAGAAACATTGAGAACTTTGTGTCAGTAGAAAGTACTTCTCCATTAAATTAATGAGAGGCTCTTATAAAATTCATTTGATACAAGAAAAAATTTTAAAACTAATTCAGAATTATCTATAGTAATTTTAAAATAATCATTTTTATTTTATCTGTTTATATGCTGGTTTAATTTTCTTTTTTGAACTATGCATATTAACTGTAAAAATTAAGTATTAAATTACTATATCTGTATCTACTTAATTACTGTTCATATTTTTAAATTCAATTTAAATTAATTCAGAATACTTTTTTTTAATAATTAATTTATTAGTTATTTTCCTTTAACTACTGAAGCTATATTTTCATTTTAAAGCATGATTCTTAGAATACTTACTTTTATCTCAACCTGACATTCGACAAGGTTTGTCGATCACTAATTTCTATGTTGTTCGATTCATAGAATAGTGAAAAATAGTGTCTTCCTCTAATCTGGGAATTAATTTTTATTTTAATAATCATTTATTAGATGATTCATTATTTTATTTATTGATTAGAGTAAAAGTAAAGTATTCTTACAACAGCATGTAGGAGAAGCAAAGCCCAGCATGTAGGAGGGAAAAAATTAACCTATTGTGAACATATTAGTAATGAAATAATATTTTTTATTGAAGCTAGTAAATTACATGCTTATTAATGATTTGGTCAAATTCAAAATTTCATTAGGCAACATTAGAATCCCCCCCCCCCCTCCAAAATATAAGTTTATGGAGCCCCTTTCTAAGTAGTTTGAAACTCGATATTTTAAGAGATAAAACTTTTCTGCCAGTCTTAAATATTTGATTGCCAATGGCAAGTGGAAATTTCTTCTAGCCCTGTTATAGAGAATCAAAATATGCCCTCCTTTTTTAAGTACGGTAGATGATCTCTATAACCTCAAAATGCGAGGCTTTGCCCTATAAAGAGTTTTGTGTTATCCATTACACATATCATTAAACTTACCAACTAAAAATGGCAATGTATGAACTGATCAATATCAATATATGCTTTAAATAAAAAATACTTTCTAGAGAAAACCATCTCAAACATTAGAAATGAAATCCAACAAATTTATCAATTTGGCTTGCTTTAGAGATTGTAAAGTTTTCTTTCATCTAGAATTCTGTTATAGAAATTTTTTGTATTAAAAATTGATAATGTTAAAAAAATATTTTTGCCTTAAATAGACTTCTGTAAAATTTTTGCATAGATTTAAAGTAAAATTTGGTTGCAATTTTTTTAATTGGGTTCTAGAAAATGCTCTAAAATTTTTTATTTATATATATATATATTGTTACAACTCTTAATTTAATTTTTATTTTTCTACTTTTGCGGATTTAATTTTAACTATTAAACTAATGATGAATTTAACTTATTGTACTCAGCAGTATCTTTCAAAACATGTAAAATACAAGGCTAATAAATAGACATATAAATGCAAGAAATAATACATATAAAATACAAAGCTGTGAAAGATAAATCTAAGAAGGATTATTATAGATTATCAATGGATTTTTCTGTCTAAGTTATATCAATACAATTCTGTAATTAGAATTTTCAGAAAAATAACTTAGTATTTTACCTTTTTCTTAGATTTGTCTTTCTTATCTTGGGTTTACTGCCATGTTTAACTTTGGCTTTTTCTTTCGAATAAGGTAGCAATCAATCAAGCAATTTTATATTGACACGGTCACTTTCGGCAGTATGCATCTTAATGTAATTTATGTTGAAGCAAATTTTTACTATCATCTAAGTTGTTTTCTGTCTGTTAAAACAAAATTAAAAGTGAAATTTAAATGATTTCGAAACAGAAATGTTGACCATGTAACTTTATTGTTCTTATATTTTAAGAAATAAATTTGTACTCATTATAAAAGTTTTGACACCCTATTTCTCATATCTGATATAGTGGAGCTTTTATTTTACTTCCACCATCTTAAGTTTGTTAAGAACTAGAAGAAAAAAAAATTATAAAAGTTTTTTGACTTAGAATCCAAGAGTTATTGTAATAAGTATTCACTATCTATTTTATTTATGCATATGAATATTTTGTTACTAATATAAATGTTTATTTAAGGAAAAACCCGGAACTGTGTTAAAAGAAAGTATGTGTTTGAAGAACCAGAAGAAAATAGCACAACTGTTGATGTAAAAGATGATTCTCCCAAAGTTGTCGAAATAGATGATATTGATGAAGACAAGGTTTGTAAACTACTCTATGTGTTTTAAAAAAAGTTTTGCGTAACAGATTAATTAGGGTGGTTTAAAAATTTTCATACTGATTTATGGTATCCCTTTTAAAAATATTCTATATTCTGATTTTTTTTAAAGATTTATAATATTGACAGTTTCAAATTTATCCAAGGGCATAATTTGATTCTAAAATATTTTATATTCTGGCTAAATGTTGTATAGTGCGCAAAAACATAAATGTTCCATCCTGAATAATTTTCGAGCTGCCAATTGGATCTTCGTCTTAATGGTTTGAGGGGGTTATGTCAAATGTGCTAATTAATTAGTGCAGATGATATTTTAAACTATGAAATCAGACACGAAAACGTACCTTCTCTGAATAGACGTACCTTTTTTTGATGGATTTGGATTTCTTATCCACAAAATACAGGGGATAGCTGCAACCTGGGAAATATGGCTTAAAATATCATCTGCACTTATTAATTAGCATCACTTCCTCAAACCAGTAAAATTGAGCCCTACAACATGAAGATCCGGTCGTCAGATCAAGAATTATTCAGGATGGTCCGTTTATTTTTTTGCGCCCTGTAATTTTACATGGCAAAATTCGAAATTTGAGCAAAATAGGTCAAATAGTTCCTTAGAAATTGCATATTAAAAATATGATTTTTTAAAATTTCTTATCTACCAAAAGGCAATTTATTTTCAAATCTATCTCTTAGTAATTTTCATGCAGTGATGTATCAATTAAGTTGAAAATTTTAATTAACTGCATTTCTAGTTAAGCAACAGAATTTTTGATCCTAGGACAAAGAAGCATTATTGTGAATAACACTTTTATACAAACTGGTAAAAGAGCTTCTTATTTTCCAAAAAAAATTAGGCAATTTAGTAATGAGAAGTTTAAATTCTTAATTTGATTAAAAAACACGAGGACTTTAATCCATTGAAGATTCGACATGTGTTTTAATTAGAAGATTTTTTGTTTAGAAAATCTTTACATTTGAAGTGAAATAGTTCTCTACAGTGCTCTCTCTAACCTATGACTGAACTTTGGGAATAGAATCTAATGTATCCGAATTTTCTTGGTCCAATAAGCAGTAAAAACTTCAGTTCCAGTATTTAAATATTCTTCTACTGGGATAATCTGTTATGATGTCCTACTCTTAAAAAATTTTGTTCACTAAGAATCTCTTGAGAATTTAAACATTATATAACTAAATCTTGAAAATATAAATATACTAGCTGAAGTTTCTACTCATCAATAGTCATTTACGATGAACTTTTTGAACAGTCCAGAACTAATAATGCTCTCCCTCCCCAATATAATTATGGTCCGAAACTTGAAATTTAATTAATAATATTTACAAGATTTAAAATAAGTAACATTCCTGGACAAAGTAGACCGACATAACTAGGAGCAGAGACTGCCCTAGGCTGGACTAAATTGCCCTCATGTTTTAAAGGCTTCTCGATGTGTACGCAGCAGCTTCGTGACAGATAAAGGTGAAAGGCAAGCTTGTATCCTTCAAAAAGGAAAATTGCTTTGTCATTTCCTATTGGCTGTTTCAAATCGTTCCTTTTAGATAACTCAATTAACAAATATATTTTCTATTTTGTTTTTATTTTTGATTAAAATGACCTGTTTTTTCATGGGTCATTATCCTTTTAAGGAATTGTCTTCATTTTAGGAATCAATAAAATATCTATGCTTTAAATAGATGTTTTTAATTTTTTCACAGGAGATAATCCCCTTAAAAAAGTGTTCTAAAACTAGTTCAGCAGCTTCATCTTCTAACATGGAAAATGAGGAAATTATCATTAGTGATTTAAGTGCAGATGACTCTCTTGAAACTAAAGAAAACAAGGAATCACATAACATGGATATACAGGAAATTCCTATCTTAGATTCTTCAGGTCCACCCCCTGCAAAAGTGCCGGCAAAAGAGCGTCTTTCAACCGAAAAGTCGCCGGGATCGGCGGCGGCTCGGAAAAAAAGGATTCAGCGTAATCCTTATCGAACGAGAAAGAGAAGACGCAAGAGTACCAAAAAGACATCTGAAATACCTGTTGTGGAAATTCCTAAAATCATTGAACCAGAAATTACTAATACTTCATCCAGTGAAGCAAATGATACCCACTTAAAAGAGAATGCTATTACCAGCAACGAAAATTGTTCTAATGTTGAAACACATTTTAAGGTATTTTTTTTAAAAATTTCTTCACTTTATTTATTACATTATAATAAGTTCATGGTTATGGTATTTGTAGTGCTATTATTATCCCTTCAACAGCAAGTAACACCAAGAAATGAGTACAGATGTTTATCATCGAGCGCTGAATAAAAAGAATACGGAAATTTAGAAACAGAATTATTTTTTTTTTAAATGCAGGCTATATATAACATAAGACAAAGCAGTTAAACCTCATCAAAATTAATGATTAAAAGGAACTGAATTATTTTTCCCATTAAAACCAGCCAAAATACAATTTATTTATTTTTTACTCTTCTTTCACATTTTAATTTGCACCATAAAAAAAGAGAAAATTTTGGAAGAGGAAAAGTATATAAAAAGTGCTTTATTGGGCTTATTTTTGTTTTTTAAAAGCGCTAAAAGGTGCTTTTTTCATTGAGTGTTTTAAAAAAGTGCTTAAGTTTTGCTGTTCGAAAATGAGATTTTCAAAAAGACATTTTGATTTTCACCACGTATTATACAAAAGCGTGTTTTTCACTTTGTTTTATTCATCGTTTTCACACTTCATTCAACCACAATCTATTTCGGCATAGCGTCGATTGTTAGTGACACCTAACCTTTTACATGAAATATTTGTGAGTCCACATGTCCGTCTTCTAAGCTGGGTTCGGTGAGATTATTGCACTCTCATGTGCAACTCTGCTGCATTTGCATTTTGCACAATATTCTCAATTTCAAGCTTCATTTTCCACCCTCTGAAATCGAGTCGAAAAATCTCTCGATCTTTTTTATCATGGTTAATATACTAAAAAAAAAAGAGTTCTTTGTCAAAAGCTAGTTATTTTATCATGATCATGTAAAGTCTTTGAATATTATTTTGCATTTTGTTTAAGTATATAATGCTTATTTTTTTAGTACTTAAAAGGTGCTTTTTTCTTGTTGAAAGCTGTGCACCCTGATATAAAATGAACAGATTCTTCTCTCTTAGGATGTGATCACAATAAATATATATTTCTGAAAATGACTGAAATCTTTATAACCTTCTTTTATATAATTTCCAAATTCTTAAAATGTATGAAATGATTGTCCCAGCTTACTTTTGTAAATAATTTCTAATAAATTTATTGTATGCTTTTTAGACTGGAGATTATGTCATAAGCATTGAGACTAAGGAAAGTTCATATCCTCCCATCTGGCGAATAGAAGGGAAAAACGTATTGCAATTGTTTGAAACAATACAAAAAGAAGGATGCAACAGTGTTCTTTACAAAAATACATCTTCAGTAAGATTCTCATTTTAAAATTATGGATTGTATTTAGCTATAGAATTCACTGTTAACTTGTTATAAAATCTGCTTATTTTAATAAGTAGATTGGATGTTAAGATGGGGTCATCTTTCTGACTCATGCTTTATATTATTAAACAATATCTCATGTTATTTCATACCTGCCAAGTCTTCTGTTTTATAACGAAAACTCCTGTATTTTACCACTGTCTCCTGTTTGCCGTATGTTCTCAAATTTCTCCGTGTGTGTTGAAGAAATTTAAAAAAAAAAAAAATTTGATGATAAAATATCTATTGATGGCAAAAATACTTCTCCTATTCCTTCAGAATGCTGCAGTATGTTGAGTGTTAATTGTTTAAGTTGAGCTTTGATGACTCAGCATTCCCCTTCCTATGAGGTAAACCCAGGTTCAAATCCCAGCGACGTTCCGCATCCATCTTGCACCGACCACAGTGCTGACGAGAAATATCCTAAGTGGTAGACAGATTACGGGCTGGAGTCCCCCTTCGTCAGGCTAGTCCTATGAGTTTTTAGTGGTTTTCCTCTCCATGTAACTCAAAGGTGGGTTATTTTCATCTAAAAGTCCTCCACGAAGGCAAGTTTCTCCCAAATCTTGATCCAGGAGTTCCCTTGTCTTCTGGATTGGATTCAAAATGACAAGGCCACGAAGTTGAACATCAGTAGTCATAAACCCAAAATTGGTTCGGTCAGTAAAATCTCCGCTATTTTATTTCTCCAATGTTGGCAGGTATGTAATTTTATGTTTGTTGACATATTTCTATGCATCTTTACACTTTTTTACAGTAAAAGAAAAAAGCTTCCAAGCAAGAATTTTTTAGTATATTTCTAAACATTTAATGTAATAAATAGTGTTGAAAAACTGTATCTTTGACATCCATTGGTTAATGATGCTTCTACAAAGCACTTTCTTAAGAAAATCTTTTTGCCGTCCGGCAGTCAGGTACAGTGCAATTAATAACCCTTAATCTAATGATCGGATCTACATATACTCAATCTTAATGATTCATAGGAGTGATTTCAAATATGTCTTAGTGCGTGAAATTCCGATCCTAAGAGTAAAAGTTATTCAGAGTGATTTGTGTTGTTATTTATTTTATTTTTTTGCTCTCTGTATATCAACTGTTTATTTTGCTTCGAAACAATAACTGGCAACTCAAACTTATTGTTTTGTTACATTTTATAAAAAATATTAAATGTATTCATATAAACATTTTAATTTAAAAAATTGTTAATAGGATGTAAATCCTCTTGTTTCTGTATACACCTTGCTGCATCAGTTATTTATTTGCCTGTCAGGACGTCTTATCATTGTGTTAGATGAGTGATCATCTTTAGCAGAAATTTGAGGGCTCTGTCCTCGACTCCTACCTCAATTAATTAAACTCTATTAAATAATGATTTATGTTTGTAACACTATAAAAGATGACTTCTATAACTGTGCAATCTTTTTTGCAGTATTCTAGATGGAGCCCATCTTCAAAGCATAAATATTTGCTCCAGCCTGTAAGTGTCATAGAATCTAATGATGAAACTGTGATAGTAGAATTATTAAAAAGCAATGAAAACAACACTGTAGATGAGATAGATATTAGTGGGTGAGTCATCTTTTTTTTTTTGTAGTTTATTAAGAATTCAGGTTCTACAAACGTTATTTTACAAGCCTTAAAAAAATTATTTTATTGTTTATTATTGCTTATTTTTAGTACCTGTGATTATGCATTGCATCCAAACAAGGAGAGTTTTGAAATATATCTACAAATATTAGTCAGCCATGCATTAGATGTTGAGTTTATACCAGCAATTGTCAAAGACAATGGTTTGTCTCTATATATATTTATATATATTTTAATTTTATGATAATATGCTTTGTACTAAACTTATTCTGCATTTTAACATTATGAATTGGTATAATCAATGAGTCCTTCATTAATTAACACAAATCAAAAATCAATGAATTTGTTATTAATTATTTTTTAATGGTAATCAAAGATTTGCTGTGTATAACTGCATCTCAAAGTGAAAGATAAAATGTGTGCTGTATTATAGTTAGATGAATAATACTAATCGGTAACTGTTATATATGCCTTTTATCTTTGATAATTAATAATTTTACATTGATAGTTTAGTTTAGTTAAAAGGAAACAACTGTGATTAATGTATTCATGTTTTTAAAATCCATACATATACAGTGAAACGTCACTAAAATTTGACGGTTTTGGGACAAGAAAATTGTCATTAAGAAAATTATGCTAATAGATAGATAAATCTTGATGGTTTTTAAAAGAGGTCTTTTAAGTGCAAATGACTGTGTCCATTTAAAAGGGTGACAAGATGTATTATAGTTTCCAACATGTATAGTAAAGAAATTTTTTCATAGTGGTAACACTAGCTATGTTTTAATGAATAAATAAATACTTCTGTAATAACTAAGCTTGGTGTGTAAAGCAAAATTTGTGTATGTAAAGATAATAAAATATTCTGTATAAAAAATATTTGTGCTATTTAAAATCTATATTATTTTAACTTGAATTTCATTCAATAGTACTTTGAAAAAATTGTTTAAGCTGATAATAATTTCTTTTATTATTATTAAGTTCTAGTCAATGAAAATAATTTTGAAAATCACCTTTAACTATCTAGCTAAACGTTATAGAAACAGCTAACATTTAACTAAATAGTTTTTATGTTAGCTATTTGCAAACTATTTATATATTTTTTAGTTTCTGACTAAAAAAGTTTTAAGGTAGTTCAGAAAATTTTTTCATATGCTAAAGAGAGCAATTCCAATTAGGTTTTTCCTCTTTAATATTTCTCCCCCTTCTTTCCTAAATCTGCAGATGCACTGATAATCTGTCCTGCTTGAAGGTTATTTCTGCTACCTAGAGCTTATATGTATACAGTCAAACTCTGTTATAGTGAACACCCGGATAGAGTGAACGAAATGTTCGCTCCCTTGCCTTAATGCACATGTATAATGTTTTTTTTTGTAGATATAGTGAACCAAAACAAGAGAGGAAGTTGGATATTATGAACTTTTCTCTGCTGTCGACTGATTTATTTTCTTCACGTTTTCGTAATAATTTTGTAATTTCTACTTCAAAATAAATACATGTACCGATTTTTAAAACTGCATGGAATGTAGCAGTAAGCATTTTCCTTGTTTGCGTCATTATTGAATAGTATTATTAAATCGGTTCAGCATTCAAAGAAGCCGCAATCTTCCAGTATCTGGACAAATGCTTCAAGTCAAAGCCAATGAATTTGCTGAGATTACTTTCAAGAGCTCGAATGGATGGTTAAACAGGTTTAAAAACCGGAATAACATAAATTCAGAAACAATTAGAGTCGAGAAGTGTTTCGTTGTGGATTGCGCATCAGCTAAAGATTACAAATTTTTTTTTGATTTTTTTACGCAAGGCGAAGAGTCATGAAAAGTAAAAGTGAACACATTTTTGTTACTATGTATTATTTTTCAGTTATTTTTGTATTTAATTTTATGGGTCATTTATTTAAATGTGTAATAAAATGGGGAAGTTTGGAAGGATTAATTAAAATTGTTTGGAGAACAGATATCCGGTTATAGTGAACCGGAATTTCGATCCCTCGTATTTTCACTCTAATCAGAGTTTGACTGTATATAAAATCTATTAGTTAAGTGGCTTTTTAGGTGAGGTTTTGCTGTATTATTTTTATTTCAGTAATTGGTAACACTCTTATTTTTTTCTAGATGAATATTTTCTCAGTCATTATCAAAAAATTGAAGAAATCACTTCCCAAAAGAAACTTTGTATATATAATGAGAAATGGGGTTCTCAGCTCTTTCATTCAATGGAAATGTATCCTTACATTACAACCACCTTGAAGAAGGAAGAAGAAACTGACTCGTGTCCAGTAATTATTCTTTTATTTGAAATATTTCTGTTAATGTGTTACTACAGTTATAATTGAGGGCTAAATCTCGCATTCATTGAGATTTTACCCCTTCCCTGATTATCCTGATTTATTTTGCAAATATTTATTATCCCGAAAAAACAGCAGAATTTGTCAGCACATTTTGTTTTACTCGGCCAGAAGCAAATAATAATAATCTGCTGTGATTTGAAGTTTGCCAGGTTTTGTTTGAAAGTTTTGCTGTTGGATTATGAAAATGCACACATGTTTTGTACGATCGTTGCTGAATTTATTTAGAAAAAAGGGTAAATAAAAATGGCATATCACTTCACTGGTGTTCGGAAAGTATCATTTTGTGCTGTCTCTAATATTTAACTTTTTTTTTATTTGCCCGAAATTACTTGGGATAGTAAACTGATGGTAAATTGAATGTTTTTTACACATAAAAAGAGAATTCAGATTTCATTGGAAAACTTGTGTTTTGTTTCAGGTTCTTGTATTTATTAATGAAATGGAAAAAAATGTGCTGATTTTTTGCAATTTTTTTTTCAAAAAAATTTGCATGGGAAGCGGTTAATTGCTGTCCTAAATATATATTTTTAGAATTCTGTTTTTTTAAAGAAGAAATCAATCAAACATGCACTTTAGGAACCATAATCAACATTAAAGTAAGAAAAGATAAACTGATTATTAGACATCATCGTTGGCATTTCATTCAAAAGAAACTGAATGAAATGGAAGAAACTGATAATGATTTGATTAGCTATAAGTCTTAAAAGAATGGCTTATGTTAAAGTTTTCATGTCTACTTTAGAAATCTTTAGTTAAGTTATACTCAGTCTGAGTCAGTCTGTTCCTGTTTTTTTTTTTTTTTAAATTCTTCTTTGTGATTTAAGAGATTTGGATGACATGTTTTTATTTGCTTAAATAAACAGGGTGGCCACCCACCTGGAATTATCGGGGAATTTTTTTTTATATTGGAAAAAACCTGGAGAATCAGGGAATTATTTTAAAGAAAAGCTGGAAATTTTTTCGTCAATAATTGTTTTAATTTCACTAATTTAAATTATTTACTAATTTTCTTAATTTAAATTATTTCATCCATTATACCCACTTTTTTAGACAAAAATTTATCGCCAAATAGTTGAAATATCATCAACTTAGCGATATTTTGCTTGCATCAAAATTTGCTCCATTGCAGCCCTGTTAAACTAGAATTTCGCATAAAATTCTCCCACGGTTGCTTAACGAATGTGGAAACATTTGACCTCTATGCAGACTATGGGACTGTGCAATTTAGGAAAAGCAAAGATTGTGCTGGACGTGGAAGAGGGGATTAAGATATTAACTTCTGTTTTCAAATTCTGTCCTTGGGCTGAATTCATTGATGGCTCAAGTTTGTTCCGATACTTTGGTGGTAATTTATTTTGACAAAATGTTTTTGTATTTTTAACTTCATAAAATTCTCCAAAAATTAGTTGGTTATCATTTAATAATAACAGATTTTATGTTGCATTCTTTTTCTGAAAGCTTTTATACTCCCATTCAAAGAAATCTGTGAATTATTTTTTCTCAGCAAACCAAACAATCACATATTTTTTTTACAATCGCTAACAGCAATGTTTGTCGACAAATTGTTACAATTGTTGCATTAATGCTAATTTTTTCTATTTCATTTTAACCTCTTATAACATATTTTAATTTTAAAAAAAATTTAAGAACTAACTATATATTATAATTTAATTTTACTGTTTTGTTGGTCAATATATGATTTTTGATTCAAAATGTGAATTGTATACTTATCACAATATTAAAAGTTCGTAAATGTTGCTTGCTTTCCAGAGATGATATTTCTAAAACTATTCCTCCTTTTACCCTAAAAAGCTTACAAAGACTAAGGAATGTATAGGAAATATATTAAATGATAAAATATATTTTAAACATAAAATATATATATGTATTTATTCATGTGTGTTTAATACGAAGAAGGAAAATGAAACTATGTCTTTAGATTTGAATTCTTTAAATATTTTAATTTCAAATAAGAAAAAAAAGTATAAAATTTAAGGAATTTTATCTTTTTTTTTTCTATAGAGTATACAACAAAAAATTTGACAATTTTACATTTGTGACATTTATTTTTGTATACTGAATCTCTTAAAATAATAATGCTAATTCAAATAAACATTATTTAAAAATTTTACTTATGATCAATGAATATGATCAATGAATTTTATAAAAAGCACTGTTAAGATAAAATACAGAACACAGTACAGCTTTATATTGAAATGTAAATGTGTTGGTACACTTATGACTTTCAATGAAATAGGAAATAAAAATTCTTTAATTAAAATGAATATTTCAGAATGGCTATTTAATAATAAAAAATATGTTCTATTCTTAGAAGAACTGCATGGAATATTTTAAAAACAAAGAAAAAGTTTATTTTTAAGAAATCAATCATCAAAAAGTAACAAAAACTTTGTCGCACAAGAGTCATCGTACACTTTCAAAAAAATCTCTGCCTATTAGTAAATATTCTAATTTTTCTAATTAGTAATATTTAGTAGAGTTTCCTTTCACATCTACAATAGCTTTTATAAGTTTGTAAATAAATTAACTAGTTTTTTTTGTCGGGTTTTTTTTTATTAAATTTTACAGAAACTTTTACAACACTCATTTGTGAATTAATGAACTTTTTCACAAATTTTATAATTTTAATCTCTGATATGAAATCCTTTTTTTAAGCATTTTATCACATATTACACAGTGTAATAGGACACATTAAACTAATTTAACAATATTCATTACTGATTTACCTCTTATGAGGACAAATTATCAACTTTCAAATTTGGTCTATTGTTTTGTTATGACCATGAGCCGTTTTTAACTGATAAAAGAAAATATTACGGTGAATCAAAAATTAAAATATAATTTTGCTATCACAAGCTTGATACTAAATTGCAAATAAATATATAAAAATTTAAATGAAAAATAATTAAAGGAACAAATTAATGCATTAGACGATAATTTTAATTCTGAAATCGGAAAACATTTAAGTGTACAATGACTTTCGTTGGGTTAAATTTTTGTTACTATTTGATTATTGATATCCTAAAAATAAACTTTTGCTTTGTTTTTAAAGTTTTCCTAAGATTAGATTATACATCTTATTATCAAATACGCATTCTGAAATATTCATTTTAATTAATGAATTTTTATTTCCTATTTCAATAAAAGTTATAAGTGGACAAACACTTTCGGGTGCCACTGTAATTATAAAAAATTATTAATATATAATCACCTGAAACGATTTTCCCTTTTTGCGTAATGAAAATATATTAAACAATATTTATCCAAGGTCTTATTGATCATTCTGTTTTTGTCGTTTGCTAGGTACACTTTGAAGAAAAACTACTTGAAACAACACATTAAAAAAATTTATTCAATAAAAACAATATATTCTACAAGCTAAACATATTTTCTCCACGTCTTGATTTTTTAAAAATTAATGTTGTACCAAAACATTAAAAAATAAATGAAAAATCTTGCCAAATTGTCAAAATAAATTATTTTTTTCAAGATGATATGTTAAAAAAATAACATTTTGAATAAAATATTTTATAATATAGACACTTTTCTTGTACACATCCTGCACTTTATAAGAAAAAAGAAACACAAACCTGGAAATTTTAAGATTTTTTTCTGGAAAACCTTGAAAAATCAGGGAAATTTGAAATCTGATTTGAGTGGCCACCCAGATAAAAATTTACAAATCCTAACAAGTAATTTTATTTTTTTTATTTTAGAGTGGAATATTTATAAAGGGGAAAAAATGGAAAAAATGTATTTTTTACAAGTAATATACATTCAAAAATTTGTTGCAAAAATTATGGCATTATACTATGTTTATTATGAGCTAGTAATGAATATCATTGAATGTTTTGTACTACCTTAATTTAGTTATATAAACATCAATAATCAGGAGAAAAAGATAAAACATAAATGTCATTATTAAATTCCAATTATGGAACTAATATTTCCATAATTATGAGAATAGACAATTATCAAAATCATTGGTAGAAACAATTCTTGACAAAGTCAGCGCAACTGAAAGATCTGAGGTCATGTAGTAATAAGCCACACTTTTTTCAAATGGTGACATTTTATTATTGAACAGTTTAGTATTGTTCCCAGATATGTGATTTAAAAATGATCGTAATTTCCATTCGTTAACAGAGCACATAGCTTTCTTTGAAATCATAGTATTTTTCTCTGAAAAAGCTATCTTAAACATTTGGAAAAAGGGACTCATCATAAAATTTGCTCAAGTGCTTTAGTTAGAAATGTAAAAAAAAAAAAATTCTGGATCTGTAACACATATTAAATCACAGTAAATAAAATTTTCTTTTGGTATTTTTGTGTCAAAAAAAGAAGGACTCTCTGAATTACTTTTGATGTGATGTACTCAGTCTCAATGATTTCAAATCTGTTAATTAGTGCAGACAATATTTTTAGTTACAAAATTGCACACAGAAAAAACATACAATTTTTCTGCAAGCTTTGGTTTCCTCAAAATATAAGGGTAGCTGAAATCTGAAAAATAGGGTCACTATAGTTTGCTCAGGTTGAGACCCCTTAATGTTAAATAAATTTTTTTAATATTTTGGCATACCTTGAGCACATTGAAAAAATTTTCATGTAATTTTAAAATTCATTTATCCAAAGATAATTCATTACAAAAAATAATTTTTAATAATTATTTATTATTTTATTTAATAACAGATATAGAAATTTTGAATTGTAAGGTATATAAGTTTTTACGCCAGTTTTAAGAGTGTTATTTTATATAGCAAAATACAAATTTTGAACGAAATCCGTCGAATAGTTCTCCAGAAATCGAATTATAGAAGAGATATTTAAGACTCGATTTCTCGGGAACCGTTCGACCGATTTCGTAACCGATTCGATTTCAATTGACAGATTACTTTGAAAAAATATATATTTTTTTATTTTAGTTACGAGAAGCAGAAGATTTTATTTGCGACCTTTACATAAACAATTTACACATTATACTAAAGTTTGGATAAAAATTATGATCATTTACGAAGACATAAATTAAAATGCTTTTTTAATCATTAAAAATGCCTTTTACACTTCTTTTTTTTTCCTAGAAAAATTACTTCCATTTAAAAAACAAAATTGGTCACAAATAGGATCTAAAACAATAGGAAATGTTGAAATAGGAATGTAATAGGAAATGTTTTTAAAAATATAGAATGATAGCTGCACTGGAAAAATCTTAAAATGTCCGAATATAAATTTTCTAATGTTTATTTTTGAAAGCATATGTATGTACACATTCTTAATTGGATAAAAAGATGCATGAACTTTCCTGTGGCAGAATTTTTTGGGGCTTTCTGCGACAAACATCTCTAGCAATCATAACTTTCTACAACATACTTTTAATAATAACTAATACACATGTTATTAATGTTAAGTAACATGTTAAGTACATGTTAAGTAACAGAAACGTTGTACAGTAGGTAACCGATTATCCGGAACGATCGGGACCATCGCTATTCCGGATAACTGATTTTTCCGGTTTTCTGAATCGATACAAAAAGCCGTTTTAACCCAACTGAAAAAAATAAAAATAGTTGAAAATAATCTAAAAAAGAAGAATAAACGATGAAGTAATACATTAATGATTATTTCCAAAATGATGGTAAGGTAAACATCTTTCAAAAAATAAAGAAAAATCCTAAAATCTTATAAGAAAAAAAAAATTTTTTTTTTTTAAATGGTGGGAAAATTTATCGAATTTTGTTCCGGTTTTTTGGTTTTCCGGTTTTCTGATTTCCGGATAACGGGTTCTGTACTGTATTTACAAAGAAATGCCTATTTGGATATAATAAAATTGTATGCATTTTTTTAAAAATGAATATGAAATATTTTTTTTATTCAAATATCATGGGCAATATTCTCACATTTTGTAAGAGGAAAACACACTCATTATTTCTTTTTTCGCATTTTGTAAATCATCATCACATAAAAAAATAATAATTAAAAAGCGTAAATTCAGAGAAAGAAAAGAAAACCAATTTTTTTTTTAATTTTTCCCAAAAGGGAATTCAAAAAATCAGGAGCATTTCTTCCCCTCTGATGCTTGAAAAAGGTATACCTCGAGTATAATTGTGGAGGGAAAAAAATCTTTCAAACATTTCTACAGAAAAGAAATTTTTTGCTTCAATGTTCTTTATTTTTCATTCTTCTGAAATAAGAATCGAAAAATTAAGAACATTTCTTTCCCCTCCGATGCGCGAAAAAGGCATCTTTTAAATATAATTTTAGAGAGAAAAAAAATTTGCGGAAAAAGAAAACCAGATTTTTTTTACTTTCTAAAGGAAATTCTTTCTGCAAGAACTNATAAGAATCGAAAAATTAAGAACATTTCTTTCCCCTCCGATGCGCGAAAAAGGCATCTTTTAAATATAATTTTAGAGAGAAAAAAATTTGCGGAAAAAGAAAACCAAATTTTTTTACTTTCTAAAGGAAATTCTTTCTGCAAGAACTGCGACAATGTTGCAGGGATGAACACTTTTAAGTTAAATGACAAAATCTAAGAATTATGAATGTTTTAAAGACTCTCATTTATCCATTGGTGATTCAGTATTTCTGATGATGTTGTCTTTTATTTTCAGGTGTGCAATATAAACAAAATCCAATATATTGCCCATTTTCATGGGTCAATCTACGATGCTTTGACCCTTGAGAGTAAAAGTGAAGAGAGCAATCTAATGAGTGATTTCCCACTGTGTGGGACCTGTGTACAAACAGTCACTCTCTACAGTCGTTTGCATCACCATCGATACCACTTCTATTTATCAAGTTGTAAAAAGGTATACATCTCATCTTTTGCTCATTTCATTTTCATGCTCAAAAGTACTCATTTTTAACTAGTTTTGTTTTAGTTCTAAATTTTAAGAACTATTCTATTTTTTCCAAGTCAACTAAACGGGGGAAATAATTTTATTCTTGTTAGATGAAACATTTCAGATCGGATGCGAATTTTTTTTTGCCGGAGGGCTTCAGAAAATGCAGTTAAATATTATTATGAATGGGTAGCTTTCTTAAAAAAAAACATTATTTTCCTCTGGTTGACTTACACTAAAACTTATATTTTAAATTTTCCTTTGAAACTATGTCACAATTTCTGTAACTTTTTTTTTCACTGAGTGTTTTAAATCAATAATTTGCTAACTTTGTCAGTAAAAATATCCGTTTTTCATTTCTAATTACTATTATAGGTAAAAGAAGTTCAAAAGCAAGATGACACTGCTATTCTTGAAGATTGTTTGGCTGACACTGATTGGATATCTGAGGTGAAATTTTTTTCTTTCTTTTATGAATATCTCCCCCCACCCACTTTTTAGGAATATTGTTTGGCTGACACTCATTAGTTGTCTGAGGCTATTTTTTTTTCTTTTATGAATGTCTTCCCCCTTTTTTAATAATATTGTTTGGCTTACATTAATTACATATCTTGGGTGTTAAATTTTTTTTCTTTTATAAATGTCTTTTCCCCTTTTTAATGATATTGTTTTGCCGACACCGATCAAATATCTGAGGAGCTAGTTTTTATTTTATTTTATAAAATGTCTTTTCCCTCCTTTTTGTAATGATATTTCTCAAATTATAATCAAATTTCAATTCAAACTAAATGATTTATTATTATAAATGTTATAATGGTTTGATGTCAGTCTTAATTTGAGTACATTTTTGTACAATTCTATCTTTTAAGCATAGAATTTTTCACTAAACTAATCATTCAATTGTGCACTTGCATGGTTTTCCTCTCATTGTAATGAAATGTGGGTTATCTCCGTCGAGTAGTCCTCCTACCGATACTAGTTTGTTGCATTGCTCGATCCAGGGATTTCCCTGTATTCCAGGTTGGGTTCAAAATTACATAGCTGCGAATTTGAACTTTGATATAGTCAAAAACTCACAAATTGGTTGGATGTTCACCCCTAGTTGTAAAATAAAGCTTAACACTAAACATGCCAAAACCGGTCACTAAACTCATAATGTGGGTTTATGAGTACGACACGCAATCCAGACATCAGGCAAGTGAATGGCGTTCATCAGATGGCATTCATCAAAGTAAAAATCGCAGGAAGCACTTATGGATATACCAAAAACCAAATATAAAAATATTTCAAGGATTGGATCAAGCGCTGTCATAAGTGTGTTACAGTCGATGGGGATTACTTTGAAGGGGATAATATAGATTTAGATGAATAAACTTATATTTCTAATTTTCTGAATAAATTCCGGGAACTTTTTGATCAAGGTGGTATGTTAAATATACGTTGAGCAAGGTATTAAAAATTCTTATTCTTTGTGTTTGTAATGCATAAAAATTGGCAATATACAATTTTGTTTCATTATAATAAAGTGTTTTTAGTTTATTTCCTTCCTAAAATCCACATTTCATACACTCAATCAACTCCGGTCATTTGACTGACTATGGTAGAAATACGTGTATATTAAGTGTTGGTATGTTAACCAACGATTATTTCCTTTAAAGCATATTCGTAAACGTGCAACATTTTGGCAAGAAGTTTCATGGAATAAAATTATGTTACTCCTTTTAACCTATTCAGTATTCCATTTATTATTGTTTATTTTTTTCTTATAGATGTTTCAAGATCTTCTTGAAATGTGGAATGCCTGTGACAAGTACAGGTGACAAACTGATTGAGCTCATTGACTCTCATTTCCTATTACCCAGCCTCTAAATTCTTTTTTGAATAAAAGACATGAAACCAGCATAAAGCGGTCGACGTTAGAAACCATTCGAGTAATATTACTCATTATGTATATTTGCACGCATTTTAAAGTATTCTTTTCTATCAAGTCCATCTGAAACTGCTGGTTGAAGGTTCCAAGGATACTGAAGGTCACAAAAATATTTATTTCTTTTAACTTTGCAAATATGTATCATATATTTGTAAATTACTTTTTTCTGTTATTGGATTTCTCTCCTTTTTTTTTTAATGAAACCAAATTTTTTACATCATATGAATCTGTTTCTTTTTTTAAAAAAAAGACTATTAATCTGCTTATCTAAAATCAAAAAGAGCATTTAAGATTTTCCACAGTGAAGCTTTTTCAAAAATAAATTAGGTTCACAATCTTATTGAAATTTTTATTTATATGTTTCAAAATCTAATTTTAACCCGTATCCTATTCACCCGCAAAAGTAAGGATGTGCTAAAAAAAAACTGTCATTGCTGAAAAAGCAAGAAGAGCAAATAAACCTGGGTTTAACCGGTTGGAGTTGGAGATTCAACAACTATCAAGAATCTCTAACACCTTGAACCAGCTGATCTTGAATGTAACCAAACCTAGTCAGTTAGGCCTGAAGTCAATAACTAGAATACATGTTATTTTCCACATAATAACCCTTAACTATGAAAAACATCAGCATTGAAAATTATTAGGCAGCTACCTAATAATATATTCATATTTTGCTTTATCAACTTATGACATAGTTTCAGGCTTTCACTGACCAGGATTCTTTAGAACTAGTTTCAGCTGGTGTTGGAGACTCTTAAAGATTGTATTATCCTTCCCTGTGAAAAAATTAAAAGCAGAGAATATGAGTTTTTGGAGAATATCGCGGAATTCCACGTGTCTCGAGACCGTCGGTTCTCGGACTTCGAGGCTGATCAAAAACTTATAATCCGACGAATTATTCACGGAATTCCTCAATCTGAAATCCAAATTTTGAAGCTTCCGCTCATTCTCTATAACGAGACACTTACATACATGTGATTTTTCTTTCAATGGGCAGAATTCCGCCAATTGATTGTTTTGGTTTGGCGGATTTTCGTCAGTTTGAATATTTAAAACGACACCGCAATCCGTTTATATCGCGATTCGTATTCACACGTTTTGAATATCGAACATCCATTTTCGTCTTTCCTAATTTGAAAGTTACAATTTGCGATGCGTATTCACGCGGTTTAAAAATCGTACATTGTGATTTGAGTTCACACAATTTTAAAATAATATAGTCACACGATCTTAAAATCCAACGTCACGATTCATATTCACGCGATTTTGAAAATTCAACATCGCGATTCTTGTAAGAACTAAGATTAGTTGCTATAAAGATGTCATATTCATCATTAGTAGGTCATTTAATTATAAATCTGATTGAAAAAAATTACTTTAAATATGAAAAATTTATAATATATAAATTGATATTGAATTTTTTGCACATGAAATTTTCAAGGTTTTTCACTCCGCGACGCAATTACTCCCATTAAAGCTTTAACCGAGTAGAATGGATTAATTATCTCCAATTCGACCAGTCAAATTTAGGTTTTTATATTCATTCTCGTTGTAACATTTACGCTGCATTTATAAATTTCTTTATCCTTGTTACCTGACATCAGTCTCTAACTGGAACCGGTGATGGTCAAAGTGACCTAACATACATGTGATAATTGCATGATCAAGTGTGGTCAGGCTAAAAATGCGAGAGAAATAATAAAAAAAAACACTGTAGTGTTAGAATACTGATGGAGTCCTGTCCACCAATTCTTGGATTCAGTACCTGCCAGTTCATTATTATACCAAAGATGTTGGAGTTTGCTGTTCCATTCTAAAACGGAGATGTTTTTTCCCCGAAAAGTTGTGTTGCGACTTGTAAAAAATGTAGCTAGCTATTGATTTTAAAAGAAATATATATAGTTACAAAGATGTCTAAATGTTTGACGCTGTATATGTAAATCATAATTAAGTTTCAGTTTTTATATTTATTGTTTGAAAATTTTTTTTTTATATGTTTTTATCTTGGCCCATTTCTGCAAAAAAACAAAAACAAAAATTATTTCAACTTTACATTGCCAGTTTCTACTTAATATTAAAAATTCTCAATGCTGAAATACTTTCAAGTTTATATTAATTGTTATAATTTGTAAATAATAATTTATTAGTTTACTGAATATTAAACCTATAAATTATTATTCTTTATGTAAAACTGTTTTCAGGAGGAAGAAAAAATTCTTTAAGTTAATATTTATAAATGTATGATTTGATTAGTATTTTCCTTTAAATTTAGAAGCCTATTTCAACAAGTCTCTTTTTTTTCAACTTGGTGGCTTTCTATTTATAATTAATATTGTTAACTGAAACTTTTGCATTTTGATACTAACTATAAAAATAGCAAAACTTAATGAGTTTTTTCTTCAAATTATTATAAACATTTAATTTATAAAAGTAATATTACTCTCTTTTATATAAAATTTAAAAACGAATCTAAATATTTCATTAGCTTTTTAAGGCTTAAAGATTGTATTATCTGTTTAATATGCCTTATATCACTGTTTTGCTAATATATTAATTTGGAAGCAGCAACTCCGTTTTAGCTTTGCATTTGTAATTAAACTAGCTTTGAATAGTTAATTTTATCTTCAATTTTTTAACAGCATATTTTAGCATGTGTGCATACTCTGTACAAATAAGACTATTGTGAATTTGAGATATATTCCAAGTTTTGTATGTAGATATAGTTGAAGTTATATATATATATATATTTAAAAATGAATTGTTTTACTTCCTTTATATATAATTTTAGCTCATGAGTTTTTGCCTGTTGCCCTTAATTGCATGTATAAATACATGTATATAATAAATATCTATATATATATATATATATATAATGTGTTAGAATAATTGTTATTGTAAAGCATTGCCATCATTCATAATATATTTAAATAATTGAGATTGTTAATTTTTCTTGTTATGCAATTGCGCGTTTGATGTTTTGTTTCGACTTATTTCTAGTTGTCGGTGGGTTTTTTTGACTAAAGAACTGTTTTTCTATGTATTTTCAGATAAATTGTTACATTCATTTCTTGCAAGAAATTTATAGTAATTAATGTTATTACAAACAATGGTCACAAAATACCCATTTAATTATTACAACTTGTTCTCTTGATTAGGTGCCATAAACCAAAGCAACTTTGCCGGGATATAATTTTTTGTTTTCCAACAAATTGCTGAAGGAATCAGTTCTGAAGGCAAATTTCTCCTCCACTGTTAGATTCAGAAGTGCAAAAAAATATTTCGAAATTTGCCCTTGGTTACTGTAGCTCAGACTACAAAATATTAGTTTTCTTAAATGTTTTCATGAGCTTACCTGTGCTGAAAAAAATTCTACTGCGATTATTTTGTGTTGTAAAAATAGTGATTAAACTAAGCAATTCTTCATAAAATTAAATAAAAATGTGATTTCAAATATTATAACTGCAATGCAGGTTTCAGCGAAATTGAACTAAAGTTTTCACCAATCCTTAAGCGCCACTTTAAACTTAAAATTTCAATCTTGCATTTGTTTTTTGACAGTGTATGATGACTTTTTAGTTTCATATTTTTTCGAGAGGAAAATGGTTTAAATCTGTCACATCATAGCTAAGTAAATATTTTTTTTACTTCCTATTTTTTTGTTTGTTAAATCCATAAGAATAATTGACGTGTGTAGAAGAAATACCTAAAATATAATAAACATCATTAAAGCAAATTTAAACGTCGGAAATCAAATTTTTTAAAAAGAATTTTAAGTTACTTTACAGTTTCCTTAAATAAAAAAAAAGAATATTCAAACTGATAATAAAATTTTGACCAAATCTATGAAAGAAGGTAATAAAATAAATAATTTAACAAAAATTAAACCTTATTCCATATTTAGTATGAAAGTCTAACTTTTCTGAAATACTCTAATTGGCTTCTTATTTGTATTCTTTATGAATATCTAGGTGACATAAAAATGAACAAGTTGTAATAAATATTTTTTGTAATTAATCGTTCTTAGTGTTTTTCATTACTTAACCCAAAATGTAGGAATACCCTTAATGGATGAAATGAAATCGTTTTTAATATATTCTCCTCAATTAATAAGATGTCCGTCATTCAATCAAAAGTTGTCTTAACTTCACCCTTTATTACATCTATTATTATATTGTTTATTCCATGCTGTTTCCAACAAATGAGACTGTTTTTGGAGTTTATCCAGTATTTTTTAGATGTTTTTTATTCTTGGCTTTTGTTTTGAAAAATAATTAATGCTACTGAATAAAATTTAAGGATATTAAAAGCAAAATAATGACTCTCAATGCTCAAAATTATGGCAAAAATGTTATGGGAATTTAATCATAATTTAACAAATTAATAATTAATCGTAATTAACTACTGTACTTATTTTAACAAATTCATATTATACCTTTAAAATAATTAAGAAACTCACAAAATAATTGATAATAATGCAACTTGTTAAACATAACATGTTGCAATCAATCATTTTAATTTATTCTAATAAACTTTTCATATTGAAGACTGATTATCTGGGCTGAGATGTTGATGACCTATAAATTCAAAAATCTAAAAATCATCAAAAAAGATCTTTAAGTGAAAACATGTTTTAAGTTAGCTTTTAAAAATATAATCAGAAATTATATTCATAAATTTAACATGAAAATAAATAAATAAAATTTTTTGTTTAAAATATATGTAAAAAAATGTATCCGATAAATATATATTCAAAAACATGAAAATTGTATTGTATTATCAAATGTTTTTTAAATTTAAAAAAAAATGGTCTGTGGTCCTGAAACTAATTTTTTTATCTTCTCAACACCAATGCTTGTTATTGGAGCACATTTAAAGTAAAAAAATGAGAAATTTGTGCTCGAAAAATGGAAAATATTTCAAATTTCAGACGTATGACTGAGAAGAATTCTAAAAAACAAATGATCAAGAAATGTGAATAATACCCTTTAGGACTAAAAAAAGCATCTTAGCCCTACTAATTGTTAAATGTAAACACGTTAAAATGCTTATCTACAGGCTGATTTTCTTAGGAATATATGAAAAAGATACAAAAATTTTAGTTGGTATATTAGAAGGAACTGCTTGTTTCAGATATTTTAATGGCCATTAAATGATAAATGAGCTTTCTATCATTATAATGGAAAGGTCACTGTAATTTGGATTGTGCCAACTTTATTATTATTCTTTTTGTATTAATTTGGCTAAATTAATTCATTTTTCTAAAAGCATGTGTCAATACATCTTGGGAATTCAAAATAAATTTTTAGCCTTGTGGTTAAAAAAGGAATTTATAATTTGAAAAGCATGTTAATAGGCTACTTATAAATTAAGTGTTCAATTAATTTTAGCAGTCAATCCAGTTTTAGTTATGTATATTTTGTTAATTGACTACTTAGGTTAATGTAAATTGCCACAAGGTAATTTATGTAATTAACATGCTTTGAAATTCAGGATATTTAGTTTTCATCATCATTTTAGTCAAACAGCTGAATCATTTTTGTAGTGAGATTATATTAATTTTTTTATTGCTTACGTTGGTTTGTGCTTCCTTTTAAATTTATTCTTGTTTGAAAAAATAAATATTTTTATTTTTGAAATTGTTTTAAATTTCACTGTAAATAGTATATATATATACTTATTTGTTAAAATTGATATAATTTTATTGCAAATATTTGCCATTGTTTTCTTTGTTTCATATCTTTTGTTTACATCTTTGTGGAAAAATCCTGTTGTTTTTTTCATGATTTATTACTGTGATCATCAAAATATTATTATTTTGATTTACTAGTTTTTTGTTATGTGATCGCAAGAACAAGTTTTAATGTATCTAGAAAGAACATTGTTATTTATGTGTTGTATATATTTTTTTTATTTGCTTTTATCATTGTTTTGGATCACCAAATATTTTTACCCACTGTGATAAAAATCCAAAATTATTCAAACTTGCATTCATCTAAAATAAATTCTGATGGCTTGTTAAACTTCATGAATGTTGGCCATATTTTACATAACTCAACATTCTATAACTTTTCTGTGATTTTTATTTCTTTTTTAATATTAATGTTTTGTAACGCAACTTCAAAATATCTCTCCCCCAATTGTGTGCAGTGTTTTTGTTTATGGGAATGCCAACTGTTATAGATCTTCACCCTTTAAATCTAAATTCTGTTAATATCTATACCAATACATTGTTTTAATGATCCTATTTTGCATATAGTCATTATTATGATATGTTATATATTATGTGAATATATTAATATCTAATGATTATACATAATGAATATATCATGGTAATAAATATATGCTTGTATGTTATGCATTATTGAGATTATGTGTTCCATTATTAAGTAACACTTCTATTATTTTCATTTTAACCGTGTTTTTCACTTTATGTAATACATATATTGTTAATAGTTTTTTATTAAGCATTAACATCACTTAATAAGTTATAAACATCTTAGTGGGATTATAGGAGTACAGTATTTTTCTAAATTGTATATCATAGTTTTTTTTTCCCTTCCTTAAGAGTCAGGATCCTCATAAGCAGATGTTGAAATATAACATTATTCTAAATCATACCATTTTGTTTCTTAATGAGCCTAGTTTCTTTCCTCATAAACAGATTAAATTAATCTTGGTCTAGTAATTGACTCTTTTAATATGAGCAAATTTATCTAAGTGATGCGCTTTTTATTTTACTTTTTTTAAAGAAAAAATAATAATTTTCAAGTAAAAAATGCTTAAAGTAAAAAAGAAAAAAAAACTTAAAAATTCCTAAGCATTTTGAATATTTAAATGAAGTAGCTTTTAATTATGAAAAAAAGTAGCATTTAGAAAAACAAAAACAAGAAAAAATTATTAAATATTTCCTNTTATTTTACTTTTTTTAAAGAAAAAATAATAATTTTCAAGTAAAAAATGCTTAAAGTAAAAAAGAAAAAAAAACTTAAAAATTCCTAAGCATTTTGAATATTTAAATGAAGTAGCTTTTAA